TCTGAATCTACATCGTAAAATGAATTGCTGCAAAGCAGGACACGTTTTCCCGCAGAAACAATGTAAGATATTCAGCCGGGGTTCCTGACCAATGACTGGGCACCCGGTACATCATAAATGTGACTAAACCCTGTGTCATAAATATAAACGTACAATAACTATAAATGTCATAATAATCAGCTGAAACGTAAACCCTAAATGGCCATGTGAAATTTGTCACAAGTCCTAGAACTCAAGAATAAATACAGAGTGCGTATTTGTCATCGGAGAAACCCCAAAGCATTATAAATAATGCATACATTCCATGCATAAAAAATATAGTTCTCCCATATCATAAACTTGACTTTACAGTTGTAAGTTTCTATAGCAGAATTATAGAATAGCAGAGGGAGGAGGGACCTTAAAAATTATTTTTTCTAGACTCTACCAGGTGCTGGGATTCTCATCACAACAGCACTTCCAGTCTCTGCTTGAACATCCCCCAGGACGGAGAGCTCACTACCTGCTGGCCTCCTATTGTAGTTTAGTTTAAATTTCCCTGTGGCTATTCCCCGTGCCATCCCATGCTCATGCTGCAAGGAATGAACTTGGGTCCCACTCAAGGTCTGGCCAGACAGAGCCAGCAGGCCCAGAGGGAGGTGCTTATTCTTGGTTAATGCCCCGTCACCTATTAGCTCTGTGACCTTAGGCAAGTTATTTAACCTCTGTGAGCCTCAGTTTCCCTATCTGTGGATTGGGGATCAATAATAATGCTACCTATCTCATGCATTGTTGTGAAGGCCAGATAAGGCAATCCATGTTAGCTACCATTATTTTTATTATTATTACCCTGACTATTGACCAAATGGTCCTCAAATGTTCTCTCATACACATCTCTCCTGTCTCTGGGAAGGTACTCTTGACTTTTTTCTTAACTCAAGTGCAGAGCCTTCAACTCTTATGATGTTACATGTTGATATTTTGAACCATTTCTTCACCCTGTCAAGACCCTGGGATCCTGACCCTGTCACCCAACCTATTGTCCATCCCATCAGGGTTCGAACAGCCCATTGATGTTTCCTTCTAAGTCACTGGTAAAAAACGCTGGTCTTGAATGCCTGGGACAGAGCCCTGCGGCATATCACTGGGGACCTCCCTCTGGACCAGTGTTTCCCAAATCGTGTTATTTGGAATTTTTGTCTCCCATGAGATGCAAACATGTGTTTGGGAATAAGGGAGCCTGTGATCAGATGAGGTTGGCACACAACAAACGCTAAAACAGCGTTTACATGAAAAAGCAAAGACACAATGTCTCATGGTAAACTTCCACGCCAGGGGGTTTACCTTCCAATCGTAAAAAGCCCTTAAATCTCTTTTGTTCACTGAGATTTATTTTTACAAAAGAACTGCATCCATAGCCGGGCGCCGGTGGCTCACGCCTGTAATCCTAGCACTCTGGGAGGCAGAGGCGGGCGGATTGCTCGAGGTCAGGAGATCGAAACCAGCCTGAGCAAGAACAAGACCCCATCTCTACTATAAATAGAAAGAAATTAATTGGCCAACTAATATATATAGAAAAAATTAGCCGGGCATGGTGGCACATGCCTGTAGTCCCAGCTACCCGGGAGGCTGAGGCAAGAGGATTGCTTGAGCCCAGGAGTTTGAGGTTGCTGTGAGCTAGGCTGATGCCACGGCACTCACTCTAGCCTGGGCAACAGAGTGAGACTCTGTCTCTAAAAAAAAAAAAAAAAATTCCGAAAAAAAAAGAACTGCATCCTGTGGGTGCCCTGAGAGTAGTCAATAACTCCCTTCTCCCTCAGATAGCCTTATTCCTTCCCACACCCTGTCCCTGGTGAGAACCCCAGGGACACCTGTCCCGAGATAACCTCCTGGTGGCTCTTGCCTGGACCCACAGGAGCCAGCAGGGCAGGCAGCAGCCGTGAGTTCTGACTCATCTCTGGGGGCTCCTGTTCAGACCCTGGGCACCAGCTCCCAGAGGCTGCCCCCTCCCACGGCCACCTCGGGTCTCCCAACGGGGAGCATCCTCCCCTCCTGGCCCACCATTCTCAACAGGAGCTTCTGCCCGGGGACAAGAGCAGACTGCTTGGACTAGGGGGCATTGAGCACCTGGAATATTCTATGCTTCTCATCCTGCTGTCTGCAAGCCAGTGCAGCCCCAGACGTGACCCTCAGCGGCTGTTTGTCGAATGAATCAGTGATCAAACTAAGGTCTGACAGCCAGGGAGGGCGGGGGGAGGGCGGGCCAAGCCCTCCTGGCTGAGTGCATCCCCTCCCCCGCCCTGTCTGATACCCAGCCTGGGGTCCGAGGCTGAACTCTCACCAACCGGTCTTAAACTTGAAACCCGCCATCATTCCGCTCTCCTTCTCCAAGGACGCTTTTTGAGAAAACGAACCCACGTCTCCCAAAAACATCTGTCTGAGCTACTGCGAACGATTCCTCTTTCCGCAGGTGTCGCCTGGGAGCTCGGTCACGCCGAGTCCTGAAGATGCTTGTCAGTTCGCACAGACCGCCGCTAGGTGGCGCCACCGGGAGCCATTCACTTTTCCGGAAAAAAGCGGCTTGGGAAACCAAGAGCAGTTCTAAATTGAGCAAAGAGTAATGAATGGGAGGAAGAAGAGGAAGTGGAATGGCAGGGGCTTAGAATTCCAGCTCCCCATCCCTCTCCATGGCTGTATAGCCCCGGCACATCCTTTAATCCAGCGGTCCAGGGACCGTTTTCATGGAAGACAATTTTTCCACCGACAGTGGGGCAGGTGGGGACTGGTTTCTGGATGATTCAAGCGCATTACATTTATTGTGCACTTTATTTCTTTTATTATTACATTGTATTATCTAATGAAATAATTATACAGCTCACCATAGTTTGGGGGACCCCTGATTTAATCTCCCGGAGCTTCTGCACCTGCAAAATGGAGCTAAGAGTACGACCCCCCCCCAAGACAGTGATTAAAGCCCGGGGTGGGCGTTATACACATTAACCTCCTGGGAGCTCTAAAAAATAGTGAAGCCCAACCCCCACCAGACCAATTAAATCCGAATGTCCAGGTGTGCCTTGTCCCAACGAGAACTTGGGGTAGCTAGAGAGTGGCACTCCCCTGGCAATTCCAGGGACAGCCTGAAGTGAGCATCTCTGCTCTGGGGCAGTAAGTAGCTCTCAGGCCCGAGCCTGTAGCAGAATCTCTGGAAGCTCTTAATAACACACACTGCTGGGTGACACCCCCAAGGTCTGGGGTGGGACCTCAGAATTTGCTGATGCTGCTGGTCGGGACTTTTTTTTTTTTGAGACAGAGTCTCGCTTTGTTGCCCAGGCTAGAGTGAGTGCCATGGCGTCAGCCTAGCTCACAGCAACCTCAAACTCCTGGGCTCAAGCAATTCTTCTGCCTCAGCCTCCCGAGTAGCTGGGACTACAGGCATGCGCCACCATGCCCGCCCCCGGCTAATTTTTTCTATAAATATATTAGTTGGCCAATTAATTTATTTCTATTTATAGTAGAGACGGGGTCTCGCTCTTGCTCAGGCTGGCTTTGAACTCCTGACCTCGAGCAATCTGCCCGCCTCGGCCTCCCAGAGTGCTAGGATTACAGGCGTGAGCCACTGCGCCTGCACGGGACTTTCTTTTCTAACAACCAATTGTCCAACTCTCCGACATCACTTGGGTTTCCAACAATTCAAGTCAATTCTGACACTAACTATCCAGGGTTCGTGCAGACCCCACAAGTTAAGGGCTCAGTCCTACAATGCTGCCCCCACGTCAGACACCAGCCACAGATGGGGTCTCCAGGTGACCCACACTTCTGCCCGCCCAACTACAAATTCAGGGGCAGCCTCCCTCAGGTTCGATATTTGCTAAAATGACTCAGAATTCAGGAAAGGGCTTTACTTACGATTACTGGTTTATTACAAAGGATACTACTCAGGCACAGTGGAGCGGCAGAGGCTGAAATCAGAACCAGGACATCCGGCCCAGCCCGCTGCTCTTACCACGGTGCCCCTCTGCCCTGGAGAACCAGGCTTGTTAGACCTGTGTGTAAACTAAGAATTAACAGGCTAGGAGACACCGCAGAAGTGTGGAGCTTTAGCACAGGAGTTGGAAGGATTTCTTCTGCTGGGTCAGACCCTCCCTCATTTCCCTCTTGGTTCTCAGTGGCACGAAGGGTGGGTACGGCTGCAAGACCTCTACCGGAGGGACTGTGCGATCAGTCCCCTCCAATCTACCTTAGCTTCTTCCTAGCAGCTTCCTTCCCCAGGACTAGGTCTCGCTGGATTTGGCCCAGAAGACCCGCCTGGGGCCACAGGGACAGGAGCACTGGGGGGGCGTACAGTGCCCCGGGGAAGAGACCCGGACAGGCAGGAGGCTGGCGAGCTAGCCCTGCCTGGATCCGGGCTTGCGGCCACTCTGCCGAGCCCAGGGCTGGTGCCGGAGCCATGTCTGTTTGCTCCCACCAACAGGCGGGACAGACGGGGCCCTGACCCACCTTCCTGCCCTGCAGATGGCGAAGCCTCTGACCCATTGTTCTCCAGGACGCTTTGACGGAGGGCGCGAGGAATGTGGGGCAGGGAGACAGGAAGTCCTGGCTTCCTCTGGACAAGGTTTCTGCCAGACTCAGGCCTGCCCTCCAGACGGCGGGGCAGGGCCCTGGGTCCCATCTTACCTCCCGCACCGGCTCGCTGGGCCACGCTGAGTGAGGCCCTGCCCGCCCGGGGCCTCTGCAGGAAACGGGGGGCCCAGAAGGCTTGGACAGTGGGGTGACACAGGCCGGTGACAGGCCAGACAGTGGAGGAGGAGGAAGACACTGCCCAAAGCATGGCCCTCCGCTGGCCTGGCTGCATGCACCCCTCAGCCCACTCATGATCCACAAATGGGGGTGACAGCACACGCGGCCACCACCCACGCGGATGCCTTGCGCGCTCCATGCCTGTCCCTGCGCATTCGTTGATAGCCACACGGTTGACCCAGCAAGCGCCGTGCACACGCCGGGCCCATGCTAACACCCTCACATGCGTGCACGCGCGTCCTCACACACTCGCGGGCGCCCCCACCATTAACCTCTCTGCCCATCGCTGGCATGACGAACATTTATTGAGCACCTACTGTATACCAGAGACCATTCCAGATGCTTTACATCAATCTTCTCCATCAGTCCTTCCCGTGACCCCATGAGGAAGGCATATGATCGCTCCCATTTTACAGAAGGGAAAACTAAGGCACAAAGGCTACGTGGCTGGTCCGGGATCAGCCACACTGTACGTGGCAGACGTGCCCCAGCGTGTGACCGCAGGACACCACTTTCCCTCAGCCCCTTGGAGCACCATGTTCCTACAGCCTTCCAGGATGCTGTGAGAGAAAAGTGAGAAACATCTGGGAAAGTGTTCTGAGCGGCCTCCGCCTCCCTCCCAGGGGCTGTGGATGGGGTATTGTTCTGGCTGTCGGGAAGTCAGTCCCCGTTCGGCCGGTCCTTTCCTGGCCAAAGAGAGGCCGGGGTGTCCCCTGTGTCTAGCACAGGGCCAGGCAAAGCCTGGGCATCGAGTGCGTATTTTTAATAATAAATGGGCATCCAACATTGGTAAACAACGACGGGTTGTCAGAAGAAGGATGATGTTGTTCAGGGGGGCATTAAACTCGTAACAGGAACGTGAGGGTTGAAATCCTGGCTTTGCTACTCAGAAGCTGTGTGGCCCTGGGCAAGTTACTCGGCCTCTCTGAGCCTCTGCTCCGTCATCAGGGAAATAGGAATACAAATAGTATTTGTGTCCGTCGAGGCCGTTGCGAGGCATCATTACATGAGAAAATGGGGGAAGGGCCCAACAGGCTTTGAAACTGACGAGTGGGGTGCAGGCGGGGTGGACAGACGGCGCGTGGCATGGAGACAAGATGCTTTCCAGAATGGAAGCCAGGAAGGCTGGAGGGAGGGGTGCGTGTTTGAGTTGGGCACTGACGTGCTGGGAGAATTTAGGCTGGGAGAGGGAAGAAGGAATGAGCCTCCTAGGTGGCAAGGAGAGCATGAGCAAAGGCTTGGAGGCAGAACATGGGAGCAGCTCAATCTCACATTGGATCCAGAGTGTTCGGCAAGGCTCGGCAGACACGCCAAGCCTGGTTTGAACCCGGCAGTGCCACGCTGGGCTAGTCACCTAATGCTATGAAATGAGCAGATCCACACCCCCCTCCCAAGGCCACTGTGGATATTAGAAATAAGATACTGGGCCGGGCGCGGTGGCTCACGCCTGCAATCCTAGCACTCTGGGAGGCCCAGGCAGGCAGATCCTTTGAGCTCAGGAGTTCGAGATCAGCCTAAGCAAGAGCGAGAACCTATCTCTACCAAAAATAGAAAAAAATTAGCCATGCATGGTGGTGCATGCCTATAGTTCCAGCTACTCAGGAGGCTGAGGCAGAAGGATGGCTTGAGCCCAGGAGTGTGAGGTTGCTGTGAGCTAGGCTGATGCCACAGCACTCTAGCCTGGGCAACAGAGTGAGACTCTGTCTCAAAAAAAGAAAAAAAGAAATAAGATATTGAGCCTGACACAGGGAAGACACATAGTAGGTGCTCAGTTCATGGTCCTGTTGGTGACTCTAATTAACTCCACCCCAGTCTCGGAGCTTATCAAGGGACTGTCTCTTTTATTTCCCTGAACTCCCACCCCCAGCCTGGCACAGAGCTTGGTACCCACCTGGGCTGAGAGACTGTCCAGTTGATTGATCTGGTGCCTCCCTGAAGCCATAGAGAAAGGATCCGCCCTGCACCGAACACGAGAACATACCACAGGAACCCAGGTGTGCACCCAGCCCCCACCCCGCGTCCGCCTCCCAATGCCAGTGGTCATCCGCCCGTTGATTGATCCGTGCACGCATGCGCGCATTCGTTCATTCAAAACGTGGGCCCTTCTCCCCTGCGCTGTGCCCGCCCCGAGCTCAAGTCTGGGCACCAAGGTGAGCCTGGCCCACCTGTAGCCCCCATCAAACACCCCTGTTCTCTGTGGGACCACATCTGCAGGCCAGACCCCTCCCTGCTCCTCCTCCTTCCTGCTCTCCCTCCCCTCTGAACCCCCCCAGACTCCCCCAAATCTACCCTATTCTATTAATATTTTTTTCCTTGAAGCTCGGCCTGCCCCCGTCTCCAGCCCAGCCAGCTCACCAAGCCCATCAGCCTGTCCCCTGTCCGTGAAGGCAAAACGCTCAGCTGGGCCCCTTGACACCCTCCGGCCCCAGGACATTCTGAACCTCCATACCCTGGCTCCTCAGGGGGCCACAAATGCAGCAGCCTCGTGTCTCTGTAGCAATCGTCTGGAGAAAAGAGAAAGGAGAGGAAAATTCTTCAGCAGCCCAGTCAAGCTACCGACAGAGCCGTGGAGTGAATTCCAGATGCTTCCTCACAGGCAAATCTAACTGCATTCCTCAACTGTGCAGCGAGACTCAACTCGGACAAGCGGGAGTAGCTGGGGCTCAGCCCGCAGCAGACAGAGAACCCCAGATAAGAAAGAAAGAATGCAAATACGACACTTGCTGGGGAGGGAAGCAGAGGAAGGGAAGAAGCAGGGGGGATGGGGAGGGGTCACGGGGACCCCAGATCTCTGCAGAGAGGCAGGGGGCATCCAGCACAGAGGGGAAGAGCCCTGCACCCCCAGGGGAGCCCTGAGGAAGCCACAGATCTGGCCCGCAGTGGGCTGACTGCTGGTTCCAAGAAGCACACGGTTTCAAGTCCACATTTAGGGAGAGCTCACCGTGTGCCGGGCGCCAGGGACCAGTACCCAAATGAGACACGATCTGGGTGGGGAAGGGGAGGTGGACTCTGTTTAAAGTGCTCCGGGAGCACAGAGGAGGTGAGATCTGGGTGGAAAAGGCTAATGGGTCTCTGCAAGCAGGCGACTGGGGACAGAGAAGGAAATGCAGTAAGCAGAACAGGCTGGGCACCAACCACCTCTCCACCTCTGCTGAAGCCAACGCATCATCTCCCTGCCCCCTCCTCTCCTCGGCGCTCTGAGGGCCTGGGTGAGAATTTCTATTCTGCCATCGACAGGCTATGTGATCTCAGGGAGCACTTAACCCCCAGCCTCTGTTTTCCCGTCTGTGCAATGGGACTAGCAATAGCGCCATCTCCCGTGGTTGTCCCGAGGGTCGACTGAAGAGTCCCGTGAGAGCTCAGCGTGCTGCCAGCACACACGGAGGCTGTGGTCCTCAGACATGAGTGTGCAAACACATCGCCTGGGGGGCTGCACACATGTCAGTCTTGGGGGTTCCATCGCCAGCCATTCGGACCCCACTGGCTGGGGGTGGGGCCCAGGAATCTGCATTTGCAACACCCACCCCAAGAGATCCTGGGGCAGATGGCTCAAAGTCCACACTTTGAGAAACACGTACTCAATAAGGCTTGTGGGTACTGTCATCTAATCCCATTGCCTCACTGGATCTTCCCAGCAGCCCTGCAAAGTCCCACCGGGTAACCCATTTCACAGGTGAGGAAAGAGGGAGGCTCAGAGAGGCATGTGGCTGTCCCCGGGTCATGCAGGTAGCAACTGGCCAGCCAGGATCTGATCCGGGGTCTGCAACCCCCATGCCAGTACCTCTCCCAGCAGGGCTCCCTGCCATCCTGGCAGAGGCTGGGTGGGCGTCCCGGGGCTCGCTGTGGTACCCCCGCCCACCACGGCTTCCACTGTTGCTTCCTCCTCGCTGCTATCTGGCCTCGCAGATCGTCCCACTTCCTGCTGGTCCACTACTGGCTCCCGATGGCACTTCCTGACCTTGTGCCCTCCTGTTACCACCTTTGCCTCCAGCGGGGCTGGAGCAGGGCTGGGCAGTGCCAGAAATTGGGCACTGCCCAGGGAGGTCCCCAGGGAGCCCCAGGGGGCACTAGCGCCCCCTCCTGCAGTGGGAACTGCTCTGCTATCCCGGGGACCAGGCGGGTGCCTGGCGGACCCTTCCCTTGTTTATGGGCGACACATAAAGATGGCACAGCAGTTTTCAGGGCAGGACTTCTTCGTGCACTTTCTCATGCACTGGGAGTACAAAAGAGACCAGCAGATGGTGCCAGGACAGGCCCTGTCCCCACCTGCCACCAGCCCCGAGTCTGAGACCTGGCAGGAAGCGATGCTCAGGGTGGCATGTCCCCACGGGCACGGAGACCATGGGGGCAGGCAGTCGGCACAGGCGTGGCGAGGATACAGCAGGCTGGGATGCAGGGGACGGGGCGCTGGCCCGTCCCGGCCCCTCTGCGGCCAGCCCACCCTCCGGGAGAAGACAGAGTTCATCCCACTGGAGAAGGAAACGCTGAGCTGTTGTTTGTTCATTCCACGAACGGTGATTGCATGTGCTGGACCCCGTCCAGAATCCCGCCCCGAGGACTGTTCTCCTTCCAGCAGGTCACTCTTCTCAGCCCGGCACCATCTGCCTTCCCTGTCTGCGGGACGCTCCCTGGGGACACAGCACGCAGCCACAGCTCTAAAAACCCTCCCGCCTCTCCGCTTGCTGCAAGTCTTGGGGAAGGAGCCACAACCGCACGTGACTCTCCTTCCCCGTGCACCCTCCTCGGGCCCCTCCCATCTGTCCTGTCTCCTCCTTTTGGTTTAACTTGCTCTGGTCACAGTCGGGGACGACCTCATCTTCCAAATCCGGCAGTCAAGTCTCTGCCCTCTCCTGACCCAGGCTGACCCCTCCCCTGTCCTCTCCTGGCCTCCCTCCTTCCTCGCTGGTCCCTCTTCTAAAGGACCCACGGATGTCAGCGGGCCCGGGGCCTCTCTCCCTGCAAGCTCGTCCACTCCCACGGCCTCAGGTGCCCGCTGTAATCTCAGGGCTTCCGAGCCCCATGCCCAGAGCGGACTCAGCCCCGTATCCCACCCCTGACCTGCCGTCACCATGTGGGTGTCTAACGGGCAGCTCGAACCCAACCTCCCTGAAACAGAGAAATCTTCATCGACTCCCCCCGGCAACAAAATACCCCTTCACCCCCATTCCCCATCTCACGCACCGACTGAGTGTCCCTGGGCTGGGCCCTGTCCCTAACAGGGTCTCAGTGTGCCCAGCCGTAGAGTGGAACAAGCTCAGGACTCTGAGCCACTCTGCTATGGGAACGCAGGGGCAGCTCTTCAGAGCACAGGTCCCTGGCGCCTGCCCTGGGAGGTTCCAAATTGGCTGGTCTGGGACGGGGCCCAGGGACCTGCAGGTTGCGGAAAGCCCCGCCTGTGGCTCTCAGCCCTCCCCTCCCCGCCTCTTAGTCCTGACCGGCTCAGGTCCGGCCTTGAGCTTCACGGTCTTCCAAGCCCCTCTTTCATTCTTGCTTATGTCAAGAGCCTTCTGTGGCTGAGGCTAAGATTATCCCCATTTTACAGACTAGGAAACTGAGGCTCCATGGGGACAGGACTGGCCCACGGTCACATCAGAAGCAGAGCCAGGTCACTTGACTCCACCCAAAATCCCGAAACCCCAGTGGCTGCCACAGACCCAAGTTGGTGCCTTAGAGCTGGAGCCCAGGCCCACCCCCACCTGGGAGAGCCAGGAGGTGCTGTCTGTCCCCCATCTGCCACCCAACACACCCCCAAGGCTCACGAAGCCTCCCCATCACCTTCAAAGCCTGTGCCCCCAAGGATGTCACAGGGTCACCGTGGAAGATCCACTCTGGGCGAGGCTGACCCAGCGGGATTTCTGGCTCAGTGGCACCATGGCTGGGTGGACCAGCACCCTACCCCCGTGACCTCCGCTTCCTGGGCTGTTAGACGGGGGTGAGGACACCTGCCTTTGGGCCCCCAAGGAGGGTTAGATGTGACATCGCGGGCCTGGGGTCCCACAGCAGGCCCTCGGCAGGTGCCGGGCTCAGGGCCCCCGAGCCTCGGCCTGGAGCTGGGGTGTGAGCCGGGCGTCCCGGGCCGGGGTCAGGGCCCGGCCTCCATGGGGACGGCCTGCCTGGGCCGCGGCTGCCGCCCACCGTGGGGCCTGCCTATCTGCGGCCAGCCCGGCCCTCACAAAGGAACAATAACAGGAAACCATCCCGGGGGAAGTGGGCCGGGGCCAGCTGGAAAACCTGGAGGGGCGGCGGCCAGGCCTCCCTCGCCGTCGGGGTGTGGCTCCCCTCGAGAGGCGGGTCGCCACTCCTCAGAGTCCACACTGCACTCGGCCCGGACAGACGGACGGACGGAACGGAGACGCCCCAGCCCGCGGGCGCAGTGAGTGGGGCTTACCCGGGAGGGTCCTTGGCTTCCCCATCTGTAGAACTGTCACCGTCGGGTCCCGGGAGAGCAGGTCCTCCAGGGCAGACTGGGTCTCCTCCGGCTCATGCAGGGCCGGGGAAGGTGCACCCGCGGTGACACACGTGGGCATCCCAGGGCTGGGGGAAGGGGTGAGGGCTCTGCTCTCCCCCGGGTGGGCTCTCCAGCTCAGGGTGACCCAGGGCCCGCTGGCCAGAGCGCGGGATTCTGCCCCAGTCGGCAGCACGCCGGGGCAGAGGCCTGGCCCCTGGGCCTTGGTTTCCCCTGTGGGAGAGGACTTACCAAGCCCCGACATCACCGCCTCACCCCTGCCCACAACCCCCCGTGTTGGGAGCCCTGAGCCTCGGCCCCTCTCTGCCTGCCAGCGCCCCCATTTTCAGGACAGGCAAGCGGAGGCTTGGCTCTGGGCACTGAGGCCCTGCCTGGGAAATCTCGCCCCTCCCCTGCCCCAGACGCCATAGCGCCAGCGTGTGCCCAGGGCGCTCTAGCTGGGAAAGCAGCCCATGCTTTCTCCCCGCGACACCCAAAGGCCCCGAAGCCCTCATAGCCCAGGGAAGCCCCCCAGGAGGCCCTGGAGGCGGGAGGTCTGGGGGAGAGCCTGGCTTGGAGACCCTGGGTGCAGATTCCCGCTCTCCCATTCGCTGTGGTGTGACCGTGGGAAAGTTACCCAAACTCCCCAACCTCAGTTTGTTTGTCTGAACAATGGGGACAGTGATTCTTTGTGCAGTTCACTACGGGAACTACAGACAACAGGGGCTCATTATTTTACTATCAACAGCCCCATGAGGTAGATATACTCTTTCCTCCTACCTCAGCGGAGGCCGCTGAGAGCTGGAAAACAAAGAGGCTGCGTGGGGATTCGAACCGGGATCTCACCTGCAAAGCCCAGGCTCTTTCCACACATTTTAGAGGTCTCAGGTCTCTCGTCTGTAAAATGTGGGAAACAGTCTCTTCCTCAGTCAATTACGTGCGGCGACATGCGTCCCTGGCCCTGGGAAGGGCTCGTAGCAGGGGATCTTTAAGGAATGGTGGCTGAATCTACCTGCTACCCCAGACCTGACGGTGGCTATGAACGTCATGAAGGTTTTGGCCCCGAGTCACGGGGTCAGGAGCCCAGCAGCGGCGTGGGAGGGGTGCAAGGGAGAGGACCCTGCTCTTCCTTTGGCGATCACCTGTGAGCGCCGACTGTATGCCCAGACCAGGGAAGGCCGGTGTGGCTAGAGGGCTCTTCAGAGCAGAGGGTGACGCTGCAGGCCACCCGAGCCAGGACCAGGACGATCCTCAGGTGGTTGGGAGCCATGCGACTCAGGTGGAGGGTAGCAGGTGACCTCATAAGGAGCTGCTGAGCCCCCCCGGGGCAGCCCTGTCACTTCCGGCTTATTGTGGGGGGGGGGCAGGGGAGGGGAGGTATCGACCGGCCTTGAAGGGGTTAAGCTGCCCGCCCTGCAGTCTCAGCCCGGACTATTGTGCTGCCGAACAAGGGCCGGACATGGGGGCAGGAAGCCAGAGGGGCCACTTATTTTCTCCCAAAGTTGGATGACTCACAGCCCCACTGCTGCCTCAGGGACACTCAGTGGACATGGTGGCCACCGTCCCAGGGAAAAGCTTGGGGCCCTATGCCCACTCGGACCCATTCCTGTAACCTCCATCACCTCTCTGCACCCCCCTCCCCGGGCATCCTGACACTATTACAAGAATTCCCATTTGACAGATGCAGCCACCAAGGCTGAGAGAGGCTGAGCGGCCAGTCTGAGGTCACTGGGCGAGTCCAAGGTGGAAGCAGGACGTGAGTGAGGCTGTCCCCTTCTGACCCCGCAGCCCGTGAGCCACATTCCGCAGGGAAGCTCAGAGAGGGGAGAAGTCGGGCAGCCCAGGCCACAGAGGCAGGCACAAGGACAAGCCAGGAGCCCAGTGATCCTGGGGAAGGAATGTTCTAGAAAACGGGTCCTGCACTCAGGAGCTTGACTTCTGGCTGAGGAGCTACTGAAAAGCCCGTCCTGGTCCAGGTTCAAGCTGGCTCGGGTGGATACTCACAGATGGCTTCCTGGAGGGACGCCTCAGTCTACCCGTCTCTCCCGGGCAGGGGATGGTCCCTAAGCTCATTCAGGGACCTCTAGGTTGTCTGCCTTGGGCCCCAGCTCAAGGGTCACATCCTGGCGGATACAGACACTGGGAGGAGGAGGGAGCGGGACGAGCGGGGCAGGGCCGGGCAGGCGGCGAATGAGATTTCCTTTTGGAGAGAGCGTGGTGCTGGGAGGTGGGCCCAGGGCCCGCCGGGAAGTGAGGTCAGGTGTGAGTCGGCCAGTGGAAGCCACAGCTGCCAGGCTGGAGCGGGTGGGTGGATGGGAGTCAAGACACCCACATGCTTACTGAGCACCTACTGTGTGCCAGCGGTGCCTCCACGATCTCATTTAATCCCCCAGCGCAGAGAAGCAGAGAATGAGCTGCTGTCACCTCCAAAGCTGAGGTTCAGAGAGCAAGGGACGGACCCAAGGCCGCAGCGCTCCTGGGCAGCTGGGCAGGTTCAGATAGGCAGGCGCATGGGACTCCTCCTGCTGCTCCCACTGCCCCACAGTCCCAAAGTCAGGAAGCCCAGAGGGGGCTGGAAGAGGCTCCCTTGAAGTCTGGCACTGTCCCATCAGAAGCTGCGACCCAGAGGACCCAGCACAGATTTGTTTTGCATCAAAAACTTGGTCTGCTCAACTGGTAGCCTCTATCTCAAAGACTGCATTGAGTATTCAAGGGCTGAGTCCAGGTTCAGTGAGAATGAACACTGTGGTTGATTAGTGATGTCTGCCATGGGTGTGGGAAGGGGCGAGTGGCAGCCCATCAGTTCTGATTTGCCAGCCCTGCTTTAAGAGCTCTTCTGCTTAGGGGTACATTCTGGGGACTCTTGAGGAAGATAAACTTGTTGTCCCCAAGGGATCAAAATCCTAAAGGTGGCAGGTCTGAGAGTATGAAAGATCACCGAGGAGCTATTTGGGGATGGGGAGCAGCTTCTTTGGGTTATACCAACGATTGGCCACCCTAGGTGTTGTCTGCAAATGTACAGATTAGATTGTAATCTAATCTGTGAGTGGGGAGGGAACAAGTGGCAAGACCAGGACTGGAGACAGGGCCAGGCTGACAGGCAGCAGTGGGGGCTTTGACCCCCCACCAGGTCTGGGGCCGTGAGTTCATGCACCTGCATGCTGGCAGGAGCGGAGACTCAGGCTCAGAACCTGCGTGGACAGAAACACTCAGGGAGGGAGGCAGAGGCTGTGATGGGGGCTGGTGGCATCAGAAGACCTGTGGCAGAGGTGGCCTGGGGCTTGAAAAGAATCGAAGTGTTCACCCAGGGAGCACAGCAAGGAAAGGCATTCCCAGCAGAGGGAACAGCCTGTGCAAAAAGCCTGCTGGTGAGAGGAAGAGCTTTGTGCATTTCAGAAACTTCTAGTTCTCCTCACAGCTAGAAGGGCAGGAAGGTGGAGGGGAGGAGAGGTGGCGGGATGGGCAGGGGTGCACCGTGCTGGGCCCTGGACCAGGTCCCGGGGCTGAACTGAGCCACAAGCCGGGAGAAAGCACCAAGGAACCAACTCATAGCTGCCTGGCCAAACCCCATCTGTGAGACCCCCGGGGCCTCACCCTTCATCACCCACCATGTCTGTGGCTTCCAAGGCCCGATTTGGGAGTCCCTGGAGGAGTTTGGGGATCGTGGGGTCCCCCCACCTTGTTCTAGCCTGAGACGCAAGGCGTGGGGGCAGGGAGCGCTGCCCGGGGCCACACATGGAGCTGAGCCCCTGCGCTCCCCTCGGCAGACACACCCCCTGGGCCACCTCCTCCCACCGCCCTGCCCTCATCCCTGACCCGGGGCCTCTGGGCTGGAGTCCAGGGCCTGCGGGAGGCTGGGCTGGGACTGAGCGTGCCGACCACACTCTGAGGCTTTCCCTGGAGCTGAGCTCAGCTGCCAGATCTCGTCCTAGCTGAAGGCGGGTGAGCCGGGGGGAGCGGAGTGGCCAGCCCTGCCCGGAGGAGCCCTTCGGGATTGGCGTGGGCAGGGCACGGGGACGGGGTGCGTACTTTGTGACTGCACTGGGGTCCGTGTGGCCTGAAGATGCCGTATGTGTATCCCTGACCTGGAGCCTTCCTCTACCCCACCCCCCAGGCCCTCCAGCCTGTTCAGTAACTCACCCCCCCAAAGCCACACTTGGCCTTGGAACCCCAGGCTTCGGGAGGGCCCCGGGCAGGGTCTGGTGGTCAGGGGCAGGGCCACCCAGGGGCATTTGCAGGGCTGCCCCACTGAGGGGCCCCCAGCAGGGTCCAGACTTGCTACAGTCCATTTAGCTGCAAAGCTGGGGTCCCAGGGAGTCCAAGAGGAGGAGGTCCAGCCCCTCCCCCCTCACTGCCGGTGTGCCCCAGCCCCTCCTTCGGACACTGTAATTTAGAGAACACGGAGCTCGGCCGACCTCACGGCCCCTTCCAGGTCAAACCCCAGAGACCAGAGACACCTGGCTGCCCACAAAGGGAAAGGGACCAAAGGGAGCACTGAGTCAGTGAGAGAGGCAGGACTCACCGCTGATGAGAGCTGCCGAGCAAGCAGTGCCTGCTCGAGTGACCGAGACCAGGCGAGGAGGGAGGACAGCAAGTGCACAGGCAGGGAGGGTGTGACCAAGCCTGGTGGGGGTGGGGAGCTTCCCAGAGCGTCCATGTCACTTGCAGGCTCACCAGGCACTCGGGGATGCAAACAGGTGACTGGAGAGGATCAGAAAAAGCCACAGGCCCCCTGTCCTGGTCTCAGGCTGCCCAGATGGCTCAGTCCACATGCCTGGGCCTGATGTCTGGGCTTGACCCCAGTGGCCTCAGTCACTATAGATACAGACCCGGACCCGGGAGGCTCTGGGCTCCGACCTCCCTCTGGGCATGGGTGAGCCCAGCTGTTCCTGGTTCTCTGAGGCTGCCCTGCTCCTCATCCTGGGCCCCACGCCTGCTGGTTTTGGGCCATGCTGTCCTCTAATTTGGGGTCCTCCAGACCCTTTCAGACTGACCGAGGCCACCAAGGGCTCACCCTCGTCCATTTGGAACTGCCCCCAAAGCCTCTAACGAGGCTCCAGGGACAGGGGCATGGTCAAGCATGCTGGGTGACAGGGACACAGGTGGGCACCTGGCTCTGCATACCCAGCACCCACACCTGAGCGGCCAGAATGTCCCCTCCCCGATCATCGATCGTCACTGTGGTCAGGCGAGTTCCTGGGCTGCTCAGATGGGAATTTCCAAACAACGGAAATCACTTCCAGAATCTGAATGTCTGTGGTGCCCCAAATCTACCCAGCGACAGCCTGAGTCCCTCCGATAATTCGGGGCTCTGACAGTAGCTCCAGAGGCTGCGGGCAAGGGAAATTCTGTTTCCAGCTGTGGCCCTGGCGGCCTTGCCCGCCCCGACTTCCTCTCCATCTGCAGGAGGAGGAGGAACCATTGTCTGACAAAACCCCTCCCCTCAACCCCCATTTTGGTGGCCAGATTTCTAACACAAAAGGCAAAAGGCACCAATGAACATGGCTTTTCAAATAGAAAAGTCCCACCGGTCCCTCCGAGATCGAGTGAAGGAGCCCAAGATTTAGAAAAAAAAATAGATCTAGGCGAGAGTTCCAGATTTACCATTTATGAGTTGTTTGTCTCAGAGCCTCAGTTTCCTCATCTGTGAAATGGGTATGATAATCCTGGGGCTAGTATAAAAAATTAAATGAGGTGGTAGCTATGAAAGCCAAGCACTGAGAATAGTTTATTGTTATTACTATTACATGTGAATGTCACCTCTAAGAGAGAAAGAGGAGGTGGCATGGTGCAAAAAGCACTATTTTGGGTGAAAGGCAGCCTAAAGTCCAGCCCTGGCTCTTGTTGCTGTGTGACTTGGAACGACTCACTCCACCTCTCTGAGCATCTGTTTCCTCACCTGCAAAGGCGGATTACCTTGCAGGGTTCATTGCAAGGTTTAAGTGAAATAACTCGGGCCTCAGAGAGGGTGCTCAGGGATGTCGGCCCCCCTCCACCACCCCAGGCAAGAAAGAGCCGTCTTGGGAGAGTGCTCAGGGCTCCGGCATGGGCGTGGAGAGCGGGTTATGCGACCCCCATCTCCCAGGTCCCCCCCCCTCCTCACTCACAGCTGACTGATGAGAGCTGAGCACGCAGACCTCCCCCGCCCCCGCCCTAGCAAATGACACACTGGCGATGAGGGGTGACTACAAGAGCCAGCAGCTGTCCCGTCAGAGGACGGGAGCTTGAAGGTGACACGTGTGTGCCAAGGGGTCGTGGCAGGGCCTCCACTAGACACAGAACAGAATCCAGGGGCTTTTCTGCATGATCCGAGAACACTCTGTACGTGGGGCCAGCCAAAGCCCGCCAAGGGGTTAATGTCCCTGTCACCACGTGGTCAGCCTGTGACCGGTGGGCTCTGCTTTATTGAAGGCTGGTGTAGTTACAGTCACGCATCTCAGGGATACAGTCTGAGAAATGCCATGTTGTTGTTGTTTTGCAAGCATCATAGTATGTACACACACAAACCAACCTAGATGGCACAGCCTACCACACACCTCATCTACACGGCACAGCCCACTGCTCCCGGGCTTAAGCCACACTAAATTTATTTTAAAATATTTTGCTTTCTTTCAAAGTAGGGGCCAGGTGTGGTGGCTCATGCCTGTAATCCTAGCACCCTGTCTCTACTAAAAATATAGAAAGAAATTAATTGGCCAACTAAAAATATATAGAAAAAAATTAGCCAGGTGTGGTGGCTCATGCCTGTAGTCCCAGCTACTTGGGAGGCTGGGGCAGGAGGATCGCTTGAACCTAGGAGTTTGAGGCTGCTGTGCGCTAGGCTGATGCCACAGCACTCCAGCCTGGGCAACGGAGTGAGACTCTGCCTCAAAAATAAATAAATAAATTAGCCTTAGCTTACTGTGACTTTTCTACTTTATAAAGTTCATAAAGTAGGTTTGTTTACACAAGTGTCACCACAAACAGGAGAGTCATGCATTTGCTACGATGTCACGACAACGGCAGCGTCATTAGGTGATAGGAATTTTCAGCTCCATCTGTCGTATACATGGTCCATCACAGACCAGAACGTTGTTATGTGGCACGTGACTATATTTCCTCGTTCGGTTGATGGCTGCTGTCAGATCTAGGTCCCCATCCAAACAGCCCCGTTCCTGTCCCCGGCATCAGAATGAGTCCCAGCAGGAGACTTTATGAAGGGGCAGCTTACAGAGAGATAAGCTTGGTTAAATGGGTGGTAGGAAGCGGTTACTGCCCCACGGCCACCAAAGGGACAAAGAGGTGGGCGTTCCCAGACCTAGGGAGGGACAGAACTACAGAGGGGCAGAACTACAGCCGGTGAGACACTGTCACCTTGGAAAGATGTAACTGCAGCAAAAAACATGAGCCCAGCCCGAGCAGACAGCAGCAGGAAAGAAAGACCCTCACTTCTCTCCTCCCTCCCTCCGCGCCCCTGCTGGGGCCCCTACTGGTCAAACACAGCCAGAGCCAGGGCCGGGGACAGTCCCCCTGATGCAGAGCAGAGGGCGGGGCAGGAGGAGCAGGTCTGGCGGGGTGGGGACAGCGAAGAGAATAACTTGCAAACCCCTCAATGATGGAGTGTTAAGGGACAAGAGTGGAAACTAGACCGTCAGTGGGTAGACCCAGCATGTCCTCCGGGATTGGTGCATGTTTGGTTTCATCACAGTCTCAGCTGCTCCCTCACCCTCTGTCACATGCCCCCTTACAATTCCCTGAGCCCCTCTGGGATCATTAGCTGATGTTTTTCCTCCTTTACTCAGTTTCCTGTTGTTCCCACTGCAGTGTGCATGTCCCAAGGGCAGGTCCTGTCTCTCTCACCCCCTGCTGTACCCCAATGCCTAGCACAGAGCCCTGCATACAGCAGGCACTCAAAACCTACCAGCTCCGCACTTACGCAGCTTGGAGGCCTGTATACAGCAGGCACTCAAAACCTACCAGCTTTGTGCTTATGTAGCTTGGAGGCCTGTATACAGCAGGCACTCAAAACCTACCAGCTTTGTGCTTATGCAGCTTGGAGGCCTGTATATAGCAGGCACTCAAAACCTACCAGCTTTGTGCTTATGCAGCTTGGAGGCCTGTATACAGCAGGCACTCAAAACCTACAAGCTCCACGCTTGTGCAGCATGGAGGCCTGCATACAGGAGGCACTCAAAACCTACCAGCTCCGTGCTTGTGCAGCTTAGAGGCCTGTATACAGCAGATACTCAAAACCTACCAGCTAGTGCTTGGGCTCTCACCCCACTCTGCCCAGAGGCCCGAGAACTCTCCCTCTCTCAGCTTCTGGTTTCACTTCGATTTATTTTATCATCCTTGAGTCACTTCTCACTTGAGGAAGGAAGAAAGAACCAAGACGTGCAGTTCCTTTCTGGGCAGAGAAGGAAGTGGCCCACAGGGCCCGGGCCGTGGGGCAGGGGTCCCGCCTGCCGCCTCCCCCAAGTCAGGACCAGCTTCCTGGCCAAGACTCCCGGCCTCCCCCCTGCCCTCCTCCAAGCCTTTGTTCGCCACCTTCCTCCTGCCTGTCACATCCTCCAAGAAGGGAAGGGCACCGGATCTCTTCCAGCTTGACCCCCTCATTTATGGCTGAGGAAAACTGAGGCCCAGAGGTGGCAGGGCCGTCCCCGAAGTACACACACACCCAACGTGGGGGTCTACTTCCTCTCGGGTCAGAGGCAGAGGCCTGGAGGGCAGGGGCCCCGGATGCTAAGGTCAGCAGGCCAGGCCCAGCTGGCCCCAGGCACACACCCGTGGCCCTCAGTGAAGCCAGCCTGGCGCCAGTGGCTCAGAGGAAACGTTACTAGAGTTTACAAACCCCCTGTGATGTGCAGAGCCTGGCCTATCCCCGAGGCCAGGGCAGGGGACAGCCGAGGGAGGAGGCCACCCCATCCAGCAGCCCGTGGGTCCTTGTCTCCTTCCAGGCTTGAGTGGCTGCCACTCCCACCCACTCACTCTTCTCCTCCACCATCCCCACCTGGAGCTGCAGGTCAGTGACACAGGGACCCAGCAGGGGTGGACAGATGGAGTCAGGGCTGAGAGGGCATGACCGTGGCCAAGGTCACAGCCTGCACCCACCAGGTGGGGCAGTGGAGAAAACTGTTCCTGGAAGCCAGGCCTTGATCTCTGGGTGACCCACGTCCCTAACCCGCAGGGATGCTTTTGAGAATGCACAACCTGTGCAACCGTACAGGGCCTGCACAGGAAAGGGTCCATGCTTGGTTTGATGCTCTTCTGTCTCCTAAAAAGTCTTAACTTTTAAAAAAGGACCCATGTTTCCATTGTGCACTGAGGCTTCATGAAGCCATTGCTATGAACCCAGCCTCTCAAGCCCTGCTCTTGTGACAGCTCCTAAGCTGGGGTGAGGGGGTGACCCCCGGGTTAAGACGTTTGGGCTTGTCTAAGAGCCTTCCTTAGACAGCATCCATGCAAAGCTGCCAAAGGGTCTTTCAGGCTGGCCAGGGGAGCACATTTGTTCAGAGGAGCCTTTAAATCCCTAACCCACAGCAGCTGCTGGGACAGGGGAAGGCTGGAAGAAAGAGCTTGGACTTTGGGGGCCACACAGGCTTGGTTCAAATCCCGAATCCGCAACTTACAATCTGAGTGATCTCAGGAATGTCACCAAACCTCTCTGTTCCTCGGCTCATCTGTAAAATGAGGGTTAAAGTTATACCAGCCTCGAGGGTTATTGGGAGGATTAAATGAACTAACACCGCAAAAGCGCCAGGAACAGTGTCAGGCAAATGATAAAGGCTCGATAAAGGTTGGCCACTGAGGTCAGACCCCCGGGTTCCACTCTCAGCCCCACCACTCACTGCAATGGGAACTTGACACCTCTGTGCCTCAGTTTCCCCATTTGCACAATGAGGATCACCTGAGCGCCCACTGCTCGGGTCTTTGGGGGCCGCCATCAGCATCAGCCCCACCGTCTCCTCCAGGCCTTCCCTGCAGCCCCTCCTCCGGCTCCCATATCCCCTGCACTTGCTTCCGCCCCAGCACACTCGTGTAAGGACTTCTTCTGGAACCGTCTTCCCCCTTCCAGACTCAGAGTTATTCAGGGGCAGGAGCAGGGGCTGGTTCTGCTGGTGTCAGCAGAGAGAGAGAGTGAAGGATGAAGGAGTGAACAGAAGAAGGGAGCTCCGTGGGAGCCTCCCCCCACGCCCTGGGCGGTGACCGCCATGCTCTGAGGGCCCCTCGCCTCTCTCCCCAGACTTGTCCCCTCCCCGGGAAGATGCAGGGGCTCATGATGCTGGTTGCCACCTCGGGCGCCTGCCTGGGCCTGCTGGCGGCAGCTGCGGCGGCGGCGGCAGCAGGTGCTACCCCCGCCCAAGGGGACCCCACCCACCGGCGCCAAAAGAGAGACTGGATCTGGAACCAGATGCACATCGATGAAGAGAAAAACACCTCCCTGCCCCATTACGTGGGCAAGGTAAGGCTCGGGGCCCAGGGCCGGGGAAGCCATGGTGACAGCGGGTGGTGCCAATGGCGGGAAAGATGGCGATGGGTACTATGGCGGCTGTAGGGGTAGAGATAGCTGCGGGGGGCAGGGGGGACATGGCAACAGTGGCAGAGGTCGTGGAGGTGACGGTGGTGGTGAGTCGATGGTGAACACTGTGGCTCATTTTCTCCCAGACTTTAGTCTGTGGACTAGATATGGCTGACGGAAGGGTCACCCCATGCTCACCCCAGCCCGGCCTGGGGGTTCAGGGCTTAGGGCAGAGCCAGCCAAGGCTGCCATGAATTTTCCCATTTGAGAGATCAGGAAAGGCCCACGCAGCCTTTGACAAAATTGTGCTAGTGACAAAGTGAATCATCCCGGCCACTGTTGTCAACCCCGGTCTGGGCCTTGGAACCTCCTCAAATACCCCTTTCTCTCAGACTATCCCTCCCTGGCTCCCTGTGACCCCACATGGCTCCCCAAATTCCAGAGCACCCATAATGAGGTGCCTGTCCCAAGCCCGCCTGAGTCTCTGACCCTCCCTTCCTCCTCCTTTAAAATGTGACTGTCCCGAGCCCATCCTCCTGGAGCTTGGAGCTCGTCTGAGTGACTACTAAATTGTCTCACATGTCAAATTGTCACGATGTCAAAACCATCCACTCTAATCCAAAGGAATGGTCCTGGTGGTGGACTGTCACTCGCAATGAAAGGTAGATGGACTACGTATTTCTGAGAGTTTTCAATGAGGAAGAAAGTTTCCTTAGAGTGCATTAAAATTCCACCAACTCAGCTTATTGGAATCTAAACATTGGGTGCAAAGAACAGGTCAATGTACTGGAGAAAGAGAGGACAGCCCCAAGCACTGGCTTGGGCACTGGAAGGACAACAGCAGCAGGCAAGGGCATGGACGGTCCCCACCCTCATGCCGATGGGGGTCTAGCACAGGAATTGGCAAACTACCCTCCCCCACCCTGCTTGCCCAATCTGGCCGATGGCCTGGTCTTCTTTGTTGTTTTTTTTTTTTGAGACAGAGTCTCTCTTTGTTGCCCAGGCTAGAGTGAGTGCCGTGGCGTCAGCCTAGCTCACAGCAACCTCAAACTCCTGGGCTCAAGCAATCCTCCTTCCTCAGCCTCCCGAGTAGCTGGGACTATAGGTATGCGCCACCATGCCTGGCTAATTTTTTATATATATTAGTTGGCCAATTAATTTCTTTCTATTTATAGTAGAGACGGGGTCTCGCTCTTGGTCAGGCTGGTTTCGAACTCCTGACCTCGAGCAATCCGCCTGCCCTGGCCTCCCAGAGTGCTAGGATTACAGGCGTGAGCCACCGCGCCTGGCCTGGTCTTCTTATAAATAAAGTTTTATTGGAACACGGCCAGCCTCATTCATTTACAAATGGTGCATGGCTGCTTTCTTGCTACAATGGCAGAGTTGAATAGCGGTGACAAAGACCATATGGCCACCAAGCCAAAAGTATTTGCAATCTGGCCCCTTACAGAAACAGTCTGCCCTCCCTGGTCTCGAGGGGCAGCACACGTCACAGAACTTCATAAATGGTGGTGACAGGGGTGCTCTCTGATCAAAGAGGAACAGGCTAGGGAGGACCCTTTGATGGGAGGCCCCGTCTGGCCATGGCACCGGAAATGCTTCAGGGACCAAAGGAAGGAGTGGGAACAGCTGAGAGGTCTCCGCTCAGAGCGCTGGCCACAGCCAGCTGACTATGCCCCAAGAATGGCCACTCGGAGGGGAACGCCCTTCCCCAGGGTCACACGGGGAGATGAGGACAGAGTTCTAGGAGGTCCCGATTCACGACATGTGTCATAGAGGGAAATGCCGTCAACCTGCTTACGTCCTACCCAGTGGGATAACCCATGCCATGAATCAGCCTCTGAAAGGAACAGGTAGACCCAGGGAAAGTGTCCTGGGTGAGTCAGAGGGAGCCTGTGGAAAGCGGGGGCCACCTGCCCGGTGCGCAGCCCTGATGGCGTGACTTTCGAAAGGCTCGCTCGACGGTCTCGGGCAGCAGGAAGAGCCATCGCCTGCCAACAGCGTCCGCTCCGCACCTGGCGTGGGGCCAGGGACAGAGGAGCCCCACGAGGTCCCCACTCTGGAAAGAAACAAGGAACACCCTGGCAGCGGCAAGAACGGGGCTCCAAGGTCACCTCCAGGCTCCGGAGGAGGACGTAATCCGAGGAAAGGAAGTCTCTGTTTATCAAGGTCAAAAGCTGGGGCCTTTGTTTACAGACCTGGATGGACAATGGCAGCAGCCCTGCGCGGCCTCTGAATATACAAATATGGGTCACTAGGGGTCTCAGAAAAGGGGGCGGAAAAGGCTCCCCGAAAGCCACAACCCCAGTCTAATCGTAAGAGAAACGTGTGACACACGCTTCCCAGAGGGGCATCCTACCAAACACCTGGCAGGTGTTCCTCAAGGACCATCAAGGTCATCGGAAACAAGGAAAACAAGGAAATCCCCAGAAAATGCCACAGCCATGAGAAAAGCTTAAAGAAATGTGATGACTAAATGTCATGTGCTGTCCCTAGAAAAGGACAGTAGGTGAAAACTAAGGAAAGTTGCATAAGCCACGGGCTTTAGTTAATAATAACGTGTCACTATTGGTCCACTGACTATAACAAACGTACCACACTGATGTTGACATGAGGGGAGAAGGGGAGCGCCTATGCGGACCCCTGTACTAGCTTCTCAATTTTCCTAGAAATCTTAAACTGTTCTAAAAAATAAAGTCTACCTAAGAAAAATTGGAAAGAAGATAAACAGAAACGTCTATGCACATGAAATCGTGTACACAACTCCGATAAAGTAAGTCCAAGCTAACCTGCTCCTTGCTCCAAGCCCCCGCCCTGCTCTCGTGGGTCCTGACCCACCCAGAACCGAGTTTGAAGACTGCCATCTTGTCCTAACCCTGGGCAACCTGTACAGCGCCCCAGACTGTCCTTTCTCTTTGGGTCCCCACTGTCCCCACTAGCCACAGGTAACAGAGCTGGGCATGGATTCTTGCCCACTGGGCAGGTGTTTGTCATACATCCTGGACGCTGGGCCCTGGGACCTCCTCCTGAACCCCCTGCCCCCTGCGCACCCTAGCCCTGCTCTGGGGTGCTTTGATCACTGTTCACTGCTGCCCACCCATCCCTCTCCATCCCCCTTCCTCACCTTCCAGGCTCTTCTCTACGCTCTGCCATCCGGCTTCTCAGCCACCACCCCCGTCACTGTGCTCACTGAGGGCTCCGATGACTGCACTGCCACTAAACCCCGGGCACACTTTCTGGACCTCAGGGATGTGACCACACCCCTCTTGATCCTCCCTCTTCTCTTTTGGGACCCCAGGCTTTCTCGGTTCTTTGGAGGAATCTAAGCTTTCTAAAGAGTCCCCCTCAGATGTCTTTATGCAAGGCCCTTGCCCCATGTGATCTTTCAATGTTGCCCTTCCTCCTCAGAGTCCTCGGGGATTCGAACCCAGGTCCTGAGAGCCACAGGGCGTCTGTGCTGTCTCTTTGCTCCTAGCAGGGGGCCTGGCACCTTGTAGGCACCAATTTTGATTGTTAATTGAATTGGATTCTAGTCTTTGGATTCTATTGTACCATTTTCCCTGCATGAAATACTATTATCTTATGTTCCTAATATTCTATTTCAAAGATTCTGTAAATCTTTGGTTTAGCAATTCTAACTTAATATCCTTTCACTTTAATAGTGGATCTATTATTAATACTAACTAGCATTTATTGAAAGCCCTGTTCTGTGCAAGATGCTTTACATATATTATGTTCCAAATCTAATTCCTTGGGACACTAACAGTACCTGTTACAAAGAAAAATGATTCAGTGGTCTAATAAGTGTGGAAAATCCTGAGTTAAATAAAACTCATTGGAGTTCTTTTATGTCAGGATTGCGTGTTGAATATCTCCAAGAACATTTTATGTGCCTATTGAAAACTAAATTGACCAAGACCAGTGGTTTACTGATAAATGTTTGTTTGACAACCGGCTCTGCCAAGGAAAAGGTCTTGATTTGTAGCATTTGCCAATTTCCATGGTGTAAATACTCTCACTGTGTCTGATTTTGAGCTGTCAACTGATGATGGTGAAGGCCTAATTGGGAGGAAATGTGCACGAACACACCATTGTTTAGTATTTCCAACACATAGAAATTAATACGATAGACATAAATAACCTCAAGAACATAATAAAATAATTAGGAAGCGATCAATTCTGATTATTTGTTACCTTCCTTTTTAATATGATTTATTTCACTGTAAGTTTATATCATTTAATTTTTAATAATGACTGTGTTTAACAATCAGCTCACGAATGTTCCTAAAAATTCAAGCTGGCTCTCCAAAGCCAAGCTGATACCCGCCAGCCCCAGCACACCACTGACAGGGACCCTATATTTGTATGGAAAAGCAAAAGAGGCCAAGGTTTCCTGGAAATCATTTCCAAAAGTGCTGTTCTACTCATCAGAGCAATGCAACATCAGAAGCAATATGATTTTCATTTTACAAACGAGGTAACTACAACTCAGAGAAGTTAAGTGACCTCTACTGGGCAAACCTACCCCGTGCCTTCCAATGACACCAATATATTCTTGTCCTCAATAAATGTTTTCTAAGGACTTACTGTGTTCTGGCACCATTCTGGGCATACTTGGGCACTGCTAGACAAGTCACACCAATGTGTGTGTGTGTGTGTGTGTATGTGTGTGTGTGTAGTGTTTGCAGTGACCTGGCTGAGGACAACTCACTGGTGATTAGTCAGAGGTTCTTGTCAAAAACCTCAGTGTCATACTCTGGGAGGCCGAGGCGGGCGGATTGCTCGAGGTCAGGAGTTCGAAACCAGCCTGAGCAAGAGTGAGACCCCATCTCTACTATAAATAGAAAGAAATTAATTGGCCAACTAATACATATAGAAAAAATTAGCCAGGCATGGTGGTGCATGCCTGTAGTCCTGGCTACCCGGGACTACAGCTACTAATCCTGCTGAGGCAGCAGGATTGCTTGAGCCCAGGAGTTTGAGGTTGCTGTGAGCTAGGCTGACGCCACGGCACTCACTCTAGCCTGGGCAACAAAGCGAGACTCTGTCTCAAAAAAAAAAAAAAAAAAAAAAAAAACCTCAGTGTCGCATTTAGGACCCCTGGCCAGCGCCACACACACACATGCATGTGTGCAAACATGCACACAGATGCACCTACACACATGCACACATGCACACAGACATTCCTACACACGTGCACACACATGCACGTGCACACTCTCGTGCACACACATGCATGTGGCCACCGCTGTTCACGGCCAGCTCGCATCGCCTCTTCTTTCCCAGATCAAGTCGAGCGCGAATCGCAGGAACGCCAAGTACGTGCTCAGAGGAGACTCTGTCGGCAAGGTGTTCCAGGTCAACGCAGAGACAGGGGACGTGTACGCCTTCGAGAGGCTGGACCGCGAGAAGATCTCCGAGTACCAACTCACCGCCCTCATCGTCGACAAGGACACCGACAGAAACCTGGAGTCTCCTTCCAGCTTCACCATCAAAGTTCACGACGTGAACGACAACTGGCCTGTATTCACGCACCGGCTGTTCAACGCATCCGTGCCCGAGATGTCAGCTGTGGGTAAGCGTCCGGTCTGTCCCCTCCCCTCCTCTGTCCCCCATCCTTCCCTCATGCTCAGCCTGGGGGCACCTCTCACTTCAGCTACTTTAGCTCTGACACTCGTCATAGACTGAGCTCTGATCCTAGCCGTGGACCGAGCCCTGGCCATCAGAGACACACGTATCTCATTACTCTTTGGAACAAACCCCACCCCACTGCCTCTGACTCTCAGGACCAAGAGTGCAGTCTCTGCACAGGAAGAAAGAAGAGGGGCCATGCAGGAGTGGGGGTGGGGTGCAGAGCCCTGGCCCCAAGGTGTGTCCCCAACCAGGCTCAGAAAGTTACTACTCTACTTCCTCAATCCTCCCCCAGCCTCTAGGGAGCGCCAGAAAGGAGCCTCCCTCTCCGCCCCTCCATGCAGGGTGTCTAGCCAAGGCCCTGGGACCAGACCTTCCCGCTAAGTGTGGGACCCGGGAGGTCAAGGAGACAACAGACATGACACCACCCCTTTGGGGTACCTTCCCATTCCTTTGTTCTCACCCTTCTAGAAGAGGGAGAGGCAGCCCATTACTCTCCTCGGTTTCTCCCCCCAACCCAACACAAACCACCTGTTCTCTTTGTCCCCTTCAAGTTCGACCCAGCTAGGTCCCCACTGCTGCCAGCACTTTGTCCCCAGAAAACACAGCTGCCTTTTCTTCCTCAGGATCTGGGGGAGGTGGGGACAGAGCAGAGCCTGAGGAACGGCATGAAGGGCCTTTTAGTCACAAGGCAGCAACCTGAGCTTCTCTCTCCGCAGGGACCTCGGTCATCCGTGTGACAGCGATGGACGCAGACGACCCCACTGTGGCAGACCATGCCTCAGTCATGTACCAGATCCTGAAGGGGGAAGAGCATTTTGCCATCGATAATTCTGGTCTGTGTGACTAACCCTCTCGGGCAGGCACTGACTTGGAGGGACGGGGGAAGTGGATATTCCAGGCACATGTTACTACTAAGGGAAGCCCAGTCTGACAGGTGGCACCCGCCACTGAACCACGCTGTCCCATACAGGTAGTCCATATCCTGTATAAGATGGCTGGCCAAGGGAGGAAGGAACAGACAGGTGCCCAAGACACAGACGCAAGTCTTGGGAACAAAATCAGGATCTCGTTATCCAAGAGTGACCAAGAGGCAGCAGAGAACACTGGTTAGCAGCTTTGGGCACAGGCTCAGAGAGATCTGGTTTCCAAACCCAGCTCTGCTACTCAGCCCCTCTGGAGACCTTGGGCAAGTCAACTAATCTCTGTGACCCTTAGTTTCCTTATTTAGAAAGAGGGAATGCTTATATTCATCTTGTATGGTAGCTGTGAAGTTTGAATAATAAGTTAGATAATGTATGGAGTGTATGACCCATCATAATTGTTCACTCAATGACTTAACCAAAAACTGTAAAGATTGAGTCTTGGGAGCAAGACAGAAGTCCAGTTGGTCAGGCCAGGTATGCTGTCTTTCAGAGGGATGGCAAATATGTATCACGGAGACCACTACTACACTACAGTGCACAAGACAGACATCACTAATCCATCACAGCACTCTTCCACTCTGAGCCTGGATATGGACTCATGCACTTTCTCAACACAATGCTCCAGGTGGCTAGGACTAATACTGAACTGAACACTTAGGCCTGCTTTGGCCTGGCAGTGCAGGCCATGGATGTGGTGGGTTTTAGACTCATGGTTCTCAGCCCTGGCTGCACAGTGGGATCACCTGGGCAGCAGCTCTGAAGTCAGGGTCCCTCCGGGTAGTGCCTAGACATCAGCATTTTCTAAAAGCTCCCCCAGTAATATCACACCTGCTGGGACTCTTTTCACAGGACTCATTTTCACAACCACCAAAAACCTGGACCGAGAGGTGCAGGCCAAGTACGAGATCGTGGTGGAAGCACGAGATGCCCAGGGCCTCCGGGGGCACTCGGGCACGGCCACTGTGCTGGTCACTCTGAAGGACGTCAACGACAACTTCCCCATCTTCACCCAGAGTGAGCCCCTCCTCTAGGGCCCTGGGATGAGGGGGGGGGGTACTCAGACTCAGTGACTTAGGGCTCTGGGGGAGGAGCCCCCAATCCCTTCACCTCTCCCCTGACCTTAGTCCTCTGCGTGCCAGGAGAGGAGGCCCTGCTTCCGTCCCCGTACCACATTCCCAAGGCCACCTTCCTGCCTCCTACCACAGGCCAGAGGGAAATCACACTCCCTGCTGGGTGCCACCCCCTTGCCCAGAGCCCCACTGTGGCATAGGAGCAGTTTCATCCAGACCCCATGGGCTCAGGGAGGTCCGGGCCCTGAGACTCAGGCCCCAGCTAGAAAATCCCCACAAGCCAGTGAACAAGGACATGGCCAAGTCTCATATCCACAGAGCCAGGGCTGGGCCCTGACTCCACCTACAAACTGATTCTTCTCCCGAAAGATGTCCGATGAGAGCCTTCCCATGCCCCAGGTGGGGCTGCAGGGGAAGTCAGATGGCTGTGCCCACGCTCCGGTGCTGATGCCATAATCAGTAGCTCAGCCACCCCAGGGACAGGCCAGTTCTCCTGAAGTGGCCTGGCTGTGCATGGCATAAGTCCCCTGAAGGCAGGACTTGTCTGTCTCATCAACTGGTAGGGCCCCTCGCAAAGTGCCTGGCATACAGTAGGTGCTCAATAACCACTTGTTGGATGGATAGAGGGATGGGTGCATGAATGGACAGGTAGGGCAGAACCTCTTTGCCCTGGGACCCACAGTCCAGGGACACTAATACTGCTATCCTTGTCTTATCGTGCCCATTTCCTGTATGTTAGGACAGCATAGGGGACAATTGTCTTGTCTGTCTCATTAACCCAGTGCTCTTTGGGGTGTCCTGTTTGCATCAGCCAAGTACACGTTTGTCGTGCCCGAAGACAGCCGTGTGGGCAGCCCCGTGGGCTCTCTGTTTGTGGAGGACCCAGACGAGCCCCAGAACCGCATGACCAAGTACAGCATCGTGCAGGGCGAGTACAGGGACACGTTCACCATCGAAACGAACCCCGACCGCAACGAGGGCATCATTAAGCCCATGAAGGTTTGTAGGCTGCGGCAGCGACAGCAGGCACAGGGTTTGGGGCTCTCGGCACCTGCAGATCCTGCGTGGTGGCTGCTCCCGGGCCAGAGGCCATCAAAGGAGGATGTCATGGGACAGCTCAGAGCTGGTCATATGCTCATGGCGTCTGTGACTGACCTGGTGTCTCGGGCTAAGTTATCCCGGAAGCAGACCTTGAGGATCTGACTATAAATCGTGCATTTGGGAGGTGACCCCGGGAAGCCCAAGGAGCAATGACCTGTGAAAAGAAGGAAGTTAATACCAGGCTCATTAATGGGCAGGTATCACTCATTAGCATTAGCGAGCAGGATGTCCCTGAGGGCGGGGGCGGGGGGTGCCCAATCCCACAGGGACATCTTGGGGACAGTGTGGAACACATTCAGAATTGCAGTTGCTGAGGGTGAGGGAGCTGGGGTATTTATACCCCAACTCTCTGCGGGGTGCGGACCGATGGCCGCTCCTGGGGACTTGAGTGCTGTGGCACTCTCTGGCCTGCGCTGTGTCCCGGCCAGTAGAAAGCCATTGGCATGAGGGAAACAGTGAGCGCTGCGGGGACACAGACGGCCACCGGCAGTGGCTGCTGCCTACAGTCAGAGACGTCAGCCAGACTGGGCCTGGAGGAGGAGGGAGAGGTCCCGTCAGGGGCATAAAGGCGCCACCGGAATGGCCTTGCAGAGGACCGGGGCTTCTCGGCCTGAGTCCTTGTCTGGCCCAGCCCCGTGCCGATGACTGGGGACACCGAGGGAGGCAGACACACAACGCTGTCCGTGAGCGGGGAAGACAGAGGCATACGCAGCCGAGCACATGGGCTACACAGCAACACCATACGGGGAACGATTACCCGTGTCGGGAGGGCCCCCGAGAGAGCATCCGGTTACCTTCTGACTGGCTTCTTGAGGGATGAGTAGGAGTTTGCTGGTCAGGCAGGGGCGGGAGAAGCATCCTGAGGAAAGCATAAAGAAAAGGCATATCCTTAAAGACCTGTGGGTAGAACCACTAGGCTGTGATCCCCTCGAGAGCAGGACGGTGGCTGATCCACTCAATGTCCCCAGTACTTGGAACAGGGCCAGACACAGAGCCAGAGTTGGGGCCGTGGCCAGAGGCTGCTGAGATGAAACAGGGAGCAGCTAAAGTCAGACCCCGGGGTCCAGCCACTCTCTCGGTGATGACCTTGGAGATATCACTTGTTCAGGCCGTGGGTCCCTCGTCTGGAACATGGGTGTCACCCTGGTGCTAGATCCTGCAGGCTTGCTGTGACGATCACATGCCACGTGCCTGGCCCGGGGCAGGCGCCCACCCTGCTTTTCCCTTACGCAGCCCCTGGACTACGAACGCATCCGGCAGTACAGCTTCACCATCGAGGCCACGGACCCCACCATCAACCTCCGGTACCTGGGCGGCACCTCCAGCAGGAACAAAGCGCGCGTCATCATCAACGTCACGGACGTGGACGAGCCCCCCGTCTTCCAGCGGCCCTTCTACCACTTCCAGCTGCAGGAGAACCAGAAGAAACGTTGCATCGGCTCGGTGCTGGCCAGGGACCCCGATGAGACGCGGCACAACATTGGGTAAGGGCGGGGCGTGCATGTTGATGACAGTGACAAGGCCGGTCCTGTCACTGGTGTTCTTACGCCTGCTGGTCTGACACCAGGACTCAGGGAGGGAAACTGGCTTCTCCCAGGGCTTACGTGGCAAGTGGCAGAGGCAAGACAAGAAGGCCCAGCTGCCCCACTAACCCACTTGGCAGGGGCTGGGGTCTCGTCCTGCCGGGGCTCCCCCGCCTACCGCTGTCCTGCCACCAGAGCTGCCTGTCCTCTGCTCCACCTTAAAGGCTTGTTCTTTGGGCCACGTCTCCCATCTAGTGAGATCTGACAGTCAAGAGAGCAAGCAGGTGACACCGGGTGACACCCCTGAAGCCCTTTCACTGAAAGTGTTTCATTAATATTAAATTTGTCTTCCCCAAACCACGCAAGCAAGAATCGTTCATTTCAACACAGTGAAACGACACAAAGATCTATCAGGAAAACATTGATAATCCCCACTCTCAGACAACTCGTGTTAGTGGCTTCATGTGGTCCTGTCACACCGTCTTCATGCCCATACAGTATGACACATGTATGGTGCATTTGTCTTTGGCGTTTGATTGTTTTTAATTTTTTTTTTTTTTTTTGGATCATGCCATGTTCATTTCATCAACATTTGCTCTTCTCCTCTACCCTCTGCAACAAAAGGTATAGTTCTAACGCATACTTCGTAGAGCCACAGAAATATTTGGTAGTAGGTATGTATTCAATCCCATCTTATTTTATTCCAGATGGGTAGCCAATTCTGCCAGGACCATTTACTAAATAAGTCATCATTTCTCACTTTTGTTACACACTAAGTTCCTGAATCTATTTCTGAATTCTCTGTTCTATCGTTCTGTAGCAAATATTCTGTTTTGTTGTACTAGCCTTACACTAAATCTTATACATATGTAAAAGTCCCTCCCTTGCTGTTTATGTAATATTTTTATCCATTCTCAAACATTTTTTCCCTTTTATAAACCTTAACATATTTTCATTTATTTTATCCAGTTTTTAAAAATTAGAATTCTAATGATAATGTGTTTATATATTAATTTAGGGCAAGTTAATGTTTCTATGGTATTAAGGACAAAATATGTCCCTCTATTTTGGCCTCACCTGGGACCTCTATTGAAAATAGTCTATAGTATAATTTTTGTTCTTCTTTGATCCAAGTGTTTAAGATATTGACTTGATTTTTTCTTTTCATTTATAAGTAGTAGGATTTTTTCTGGTTTTGCATTAGCTTGTTTTTTTTTTTTAATTAGAAAGTACATTTTTTCTTCCTTTTTTCACTTTCTATTGCATTAGTTTGTTTTGTGACGTAATACAATTGTATTTGTGTCCATTTTTTCCTAGAATATCTAAGCTTTACCTTTACATATTTTAATTTTTCTATTTCATTAACAAAGGTTTATAACTATTTTAACTTCCTTATGACTTGTAACTCATACCCTATGAAATTACCCAATTTTTTCTGCTTAAACTTAAACTTTGCCTTCAATTCCACATTCCTGGTGTTGAATTTATCGGCATTGTTTTCATGTTATTCACATTTGCCTGATATAAATTTTCCAATTTTTACTTTTAACTTTTCCAGATCATTTGGCATTGTCTCTTGAAAATAGAATGTAGTTGGCTTTGCTTTTCAATCTAAACTGAAAAGTTTTGTTTTTAACCTATTTACATTTTCATCAGAAATGATATGTCTGATCTTATTTCTTTTATCTTGTTTCACATTTCCCATTTCTCAAGCTTAATGACTTTTTTCTTTGCCCCCCATGTTTGCTATACAGTCTATTTTTTTTTCTTTCTTTTTTTTGTCCTCCTAGATATTTGGATGGAGTACATCCATTTTTAATTCTACCAGTGAAACTTACCTCTATCTGTAAAATTTTAAATGCTTTCCTGGACCTAAATTTTCTAGTTAAAAATATTACACACACACATACATATACACAAGCACATGCACACATATGCATTGCTTTCCTGTGTATGACAAAGAAAGCAATAATTTCATTTTAATTTCTCCCGAATCAGGTTTTTACATAATTTATATTGAGACTAAAATTTAGTCACACAGAGTAAGTTTTCAAAAAATTTTTTTCAAGACTCATCTTTGTGGGTGATATACTTTGTGAGCTCTTGCATGTTTACAAATATCTAAGTTCTTTGCCTTCTTATTTTAATAACACCTATATGTGTTCATATAACCCTCAGATTATACAATCATCCCTTGAAAAATACTATCAGTGAGTTCTAGCATTTGATTTTTTGGGGACATCTGGGGCACGTCTTATTGCTCTTTCTTCATAAGGAATTTATTTTTTCTATCTGGACTCTTTTCTGTTTCTTCACATACCCTTGAAATTCACAAGTGTCATCAGGATATGCCTCCATATGTTCCCTTTTTAAAATGATGCCTAATATCAATGACATCTTTTAATCTGTAGACTCCGGCCTTCCTTCGGATCAGGAAAGTTTTCTCTTATTATATTTTCTGTTATTTCTTCTGTTCTATTTGTTCTGGAATTTTCTTCAGTAACAGCAACTATTATTCATATATATCTATTTACATATTAAATATATATATATTTATCTTTTCATACCTTTTTTTCCTGATTTCCAAAAGAACTTTTTAGATTTTGACTTTGCAAATATAATTTCCTTCCAATTACTTATTTCTCTTCCAGCTCCTTTTGTATTTCTTCCTGGTTCTTGCCCAACTATCTTTTCATTAACCATAAAAACCAGTCCTAGCTGTGGTATAATGTCACCTGCTCAGCAATGACGGTGCTAATGAAGGTCTCAGGTACCACCTGCAGTCCAGGGGTGGCAATGTCACTAAGGCAGTGAGGGGGAGGATGGAGAAGGACGCAGGGAACAAATCCCCAAGGGCCTTGTCTGCCATCCTGGGGAGTTTGGATTCAGCAAAGAACAATGGAAAGTCATGAAACTCTCTCCTCTGGGCAGATACTCCCTCCGTAGGACCAGTGACAAAGGCCAATTCTTCCAAGTAACCAAACAGGGGGACATTTGCAATGAGAAACAACTGGACAGAGAAGTCTACCCCTGGTATAACCTGACTGTGGAGGCCAAAGAACTGGATTCTAGTGGTGAGTGGCCCCATCTGCCAGGGGACCTGGGCTCTTTTCCTCTTCCCTTATCCTTTCCACACACAACCTGTCATTTGGGGTCTCTAGAGGTATTACAAGTATCTGTTGTAACACCCCTTGGCTGGGACGATACAGAGCTTCAAGTCCAAGTGCGGTTCTTGAACCAGCAGCATGTACATCACTGGAGACCTTGTTGGGAGTGCAGAATTGCAAGCCTCACCCCTACACTGACTCAGAACATCAGCATGTGATGGTTTGAGAACCACTGTCATAAAACTGGGCTGTGCAGATGTCTCTACAGTGAGAAGGCACCTATTATGCATAAAGCTCTCAAACTCCTCCCTGGAGATTCTGGTTCAGAGAGCCAGGGATGGGGTCAAGGAATGAGCATTTAACAAGTGCCATGTGATTTTTATTATCATGGATGTTTGGGAGACACTAGGTGGGCGTGGTTCTTTGTACCAGTTAATGAGTTGAATTCAAAATCTGAAGCAGCTTCCAACTCTGAAATTGTCAGGTTCTCTAGAAACTGTGCACCTCTTGCCAGACGGAAGGGCAAGTGTTGGGATTTTGCATCCTTTATCTACATGAGAAAAATCACAACCACCCTCCAGGAGAAGGATTAATAGTCCCACTTTACTCAGGAGCCCACCAGGGCCCAGAGAGGGGGTGACTTGGCCAAGGTCCCCCTGGTGCTACCCTGAAGGACCCCAGCCCCCTGCCGGGCCCACCCAGACTCTCACTCCTGCAACTGCAATGCACTCCTGCTTGTTTTGCCAGATCAGCCTTTGCCCTTTTCCTCTCCACCTAATCCCATTCATATAATTTTTAAATTAAAATATTTTTAATATAGAAAATACAAGCCAGGCGTGGTGGCTCACACCTGTAATCCTGGCACTTTGGGAGGCCGAGGCAAATGGATTGCTCAAGGTCAGGAGTTCCAAACCAGCCTGAGCAAGAGCAAGACTCCGTCTCTACTATAAAAATAGAAAGAAATTAATTGGCCAACTAAAAATATACATAGAAAATTTAGCCGGGCATGGTGGTGCATGCCTGTAGTCCCAGCTATTCAGGAGGCTGAGGCCGAAAGATCACTTGAGTCCAGGAGTTCGAGGTTGCTGTGAGCTAGGCTGACACCATGGCACTCTAGCCTGGATGACAGAGTGAGACTCTGTCTCAGAAAAAAAAAAAGAAAATACAGAAAAGGAGAAGAAAATAATGCCCCCTCCCATGGCACCATGGAGAGACAATTAGCACATTAGTGTATTCTCTGGTCTTTTTTCTGTACATATTTTTATATAAATGAGAGCATAATATTTATATAAAATATCATATCCTATTTTTTTTACTTAACCTTAGTCCAGAACCATTTATTCAGGGTACTGATATTTTTTTAATTACATTTTTTAAATGTAATTTACATGGGCATTGTCAATGGCCACATTCCATTCTTTTCTAGTGGTCTAACTTATTAACCCAATCTCACTAGGTCATTTACCTTTTTAATCCTTTTGTAATTAATTGATTTTATGTATTTAATTACATAAATCACATTTATTTATTTAAATTAATTCAGCTACTTGATTAAATTATTGGTTTGGGGGGTTGATTGGATTAAATTTTTTAGTGTTCTTAGGTTGTTTGCCTTTTTGATTCTTACAAGTAATAGTTGTAAACCTGCTTATGTATGAAGATTTGCCCCTCCTCCCTACACAATCCTTTCACCCAGAACACCATCCATGACCTCTCTTCCGCAGCCTCTTCCAGCAAACGTGGCCTCCAGGCAGCCCTCCTGGACTACCTGTCCACACACCTCCCACCCCTGGGGCCAGCATCAGCTGAGCCCACTGTGGTGACAAGTCCTCTTCCTTGCAGGGATCCCCACAGGCAAAGAATCCATCGTGCAAGTCCACGTTGAAGTTCTGGATGAGAACGACAATGCCCCTGAGTTTGCCCAGCCCTATGAGCCCAAAGTGTGTGAGAACGCCGCCCAGGGCAAGGTGAGTCTGGCTCAGGTGGGAGAGTGAGGCAGCGCCACCCTGTGGCACATGAGGGGCAGAACAACCCACCCAACAGCCAGCTGAAGTTCCGCTGAGCTTAACGTAACCTGTCACAGCCAGAGGATAAGTAGTAACATTATCCCCATTTTGCAGACTGAGAAACTGAGGCTTGGAGAAAATGTCTGGAGCATAGATTAGCAGTGGGGGTTGGGAAGGGAGGGGAATAGAAAGAGGGGTTTTGTGAAGACCTCAAGAAGTTAGTGCTGCAGGTGAGTAGCAGCCATGGTCAGGTCTAAACCTAAAGTCTCCGTCACTGAACCTCGGGCCACCCCGACACCCGCTGACCTTCCCCCGTCTTCCACATTCCAGCTGGTCCTGCAGATCTCCGCAATCGACAAGGACATAACGCCACACAACGTGAAGTTCAGATTTGCCCTGAGCACTGAGGACAGCAACTTCACCCTCACAGACAATCACGGTGCGCATTGAAGCAGTCAGCTGGCTCTTAGCAGGGTTGGGGGCAGTGGGGAGGTTTTCTGAGCCTTAAAGCACCAGGGCCAAGCACCAAGCCAACAAATGAGGGGCAGGCCCCCACTGGGATTTTCGAGTTGCAGGATGTTTCGTACAACTCTCGCCACCCGCATTGTCATCTTGGCCAAAGTGTTGAGCCCACATGGCCTGCCGTTCCTCCATAAACGCTCAGGTCAGCGGGCAGTACAGATGTGGGGTGCAGGCGGTCAGCTCGGTTCACGACCTAGCAAAGGGGTCCCCTCCCGTCCTGGGATCTCCATGCCTCAGCAAAAATGCAAATGGCTTTACGAGGTGGAATTTTGAGGTCACTCCCAAAGCGTCAAAACTGGAAATGTGACATCCTAAATCCCAAGGAATCAGCGAGCCTTGCTTTAATTCAGCTGCAATGACTACTGACCCCTAGGCAGGCACCGAGATGTCATCGGTGGCACCTCTGCCGAGCATGTGCTGGCTAGGGTGATGATGCCGAGTTGATTTCACTCCAGCCCAGAGCAGACAAGCTTCCATGGCCTCTGCAACTTCCGCAGAAAAATAGAGAAAATTCCCCCTGGGTCTAAAGAGAGTGACCCTTCCCCCAGCACCGAGCGGCATCCCTGCCTGTCTCTGATTGGCAAGACTGCGGTGGAGGGACAGCCCTGTGATGAAGCAGTCCCTCGCCACCTTTGAGGAAGGCTGGGAGTGGGGACCTCGAGAGTGGGGACAGACCCAGGGGATCAGCCACAGACCTGTCCTTCAGGAGTGTCCCGTGGGTTGGGGAAGGTGGCCCTGATGTGTCGACAGCCAACGACAGACCATTCAACATCCAGCTGTCTCTAGGAGCAAATAATGTGGTAAAAATACGTCACCCCGTGCCCAATGTCCCCCTCTGTCCCACCTCAGAGCGGGGGTCTGCAATGGGCTGGGAAGCTCCAATGCCACCCGAAAGACACCCACATGCAAGCAGGAGGCCAGCCCGTTGGTCTCAGACTCACTCACGGCACGAGTGTCCTGCATGTCCAAATCTCTCAGGTCTCCCATAAAGTGTCAAAGGCAAATCGTCTATTTTCAGCTCTACTAGACTTAATACTGAAACGTAATTCTGAATAATGAAATGCAATTGGCTTTCAAGGGGAATCTAAAAGAGGGTGTTTTTAGCTTTGCCTCTGGCTTCCTGAGTGTGCTGACCCCCTGGAGTCCAGCAAGGGCCGGAGCAGGGAGTCCCCGACCCTCCTCTGACCATTGGCATCCTCCCAGGAGCCCACGAAAGGCAGATTGTGTGGCCTCTGCCCAGAACCAGTGAATCAGAACAATTAATGTGTGTGTGTGTGTGTGTGTGTGTAAAGGAAGGGGAGGGGTCTGAAAATCAGAATGTTTACAAAGCTCCCTGGGGAATTCTTATGCAGAGAAACCACTGACCAGAGCAGGGAGGAGAAGCCAATATTTGAACCTGAGCACATTCCCAGTTCCTCACCAGCCAAGAAACGCTCAGTTACATATGTCATTATTCTCTCTGTGCCCCAGGGTGTGTCGTTTTTACTGTTGTAAACCTCCTTTATAAACAATGGATTTTCAGGAATGGCAGAAACAGCTTTAGGAGTTAACCTAATGCTAAAACACTTTCTTATTTTTCCCAATTGCTTGTCGAGGCTTGAAACAACACATTAATTCATTCAGGCGAAAGAGAAAACCCTGTCGTTGGAGTGGGGTTAGGGAAGAGGAAGGGGTTAGGCACATCAGTTGCACACTGACACAGCAAGCAGGGATTTTACCTTCTGCCGAGGCATTCTGGGAGGCTGGGTCAAAACAGCTGCCCCAAATATCCCTTCCCGTGCAGGAGCAGGCCTGCACTCAAACGGCTGAAACAAGAGGCGAGAGGTGCACAGGGTGGAGAAGCAGCCCTGGTGCAGTCAATCAAGGAGGGCTCCCTGGAGGAGGCAGGTTCCTCCATCTGTGTGGCCGAGGTGGTGGGCACTTGTGGCAAAGCCTGATTTCCCCGGCCTTGGTGTTTCCAGATAACACGGCCAACATCACGGTCAAGTACGGGCAATTTGATCGGGAGCGTGCCAAGGTCCACTTCCTGCCCGTGGTCATCTCGGACAACGGGAGGCCGAGCCTCACCGGCACCAGCACGCTGACCGTGGCCGTGTGCAAGTGCAACGAGCGCGGCGACTTCACCTTCTGTGAGGAGATGGCCCCCCAGGTGGGCGTCAGCATCCAGGCACTGGTGGCCATCTTCCTGTGCATCCTCACCGTCACAGGTCAGTGCGGGGCAGAGCAGCAGGGTGACACCGTGCAGGCGAGGAGCAGAGGCCAGGGATCCAGGACCAACCCTGCCTCCAGCCTGCAGCGCACCCCTGGGCCAGGACCCCGCTGGGCCTCTGAGCTCCGCCCACCTGGCTGCCTCCAGGGGGGGAGGGGAGGAGGAAGGGGCGGGGCCTGGGCGGGGCTCAAGACCCCGCCCCCGCGCATCAGGCCGGCTCCACTTAAAAATAACACATACATAACACTCACTCATTCTACTTAGATATTTTGAGCACTTACTGTGTGCCAGGCATTGTTCTGGGCATGTATTTACATAAAACCTATTTTTGAAAAAGAAAAAAAAAAAAAGGATCCAGTTCTAAAATGGAAAGTTTAGAAACTTCTCGTTTAGATTGTCTCCACACGCTTTCTTTCCTTTTATAGCATTCCTCCAGCCTTGATAGATTTTTTTTTTTTCTTGGTTCAGCCTTAGAAATTTTAGCACTTTAGGGCTTGTCTTAGTTTGGGTTCCCCAGGAAGCAACCCTGGGATAAGGATTTGGGCACAAGTGGCTTCTGTGGGAGGTGGTTTATTTCCTTGGGACCCTCCCAAGGAAGAGGGGAGTGAAGCCAGGGACTTATCAGGAAATTTCCCGCCAGGAGTACCTGCAGCTTCGTGGAACTACACCCTAGTGTCTTCCTGCTGGGCAGAGCAACCGGGGCTTAGGCACCAACTCCCATCAGCTGACACTCTCGGGGTCTCCTCCCAGGGGTGTCAGTTATCTTGCTCTTCACCCCATGCAGTGGGGCAGGGGCCATCCCGCCAGAGGAAGTCCTCAGGTGATTAGAGATCGCCCTGTGCCTACAGTGATGAGGCCCAGAGAAGTCTATTTTAATGACAAGGAAACTGAGGCTACGGGGCATAGTCTTCCCGGACATCCAGTTTTCTTATGTGTGCAACAGTTTGTTAAGTACCTTGAAGCTGGAAGGACAGAGCCTGGGAGCTCTCTGCACCACACAGTCAACTCCCCCACCCCCCCAGAAATCAGAGACCCCAGCACAGCCACACCCCTCAGAGACTGGAGCAGGGCCAACACCTGCACCGCTGCCTGCCCAGGGGACCCCAGGCAAGTCACTTGGCCTGTCTGAGCGCAGTTTGCTTACCTGTGTACCAGGGATAGTAGTATCTACACCGAGGGAGAGAACATGAGGTTGTGCAGGCATGACTGCAGTAGGTGCCCAAGAGAGTGGCCGTGGCCGCTGCAATGGGCATCGCATCTCCAGCACCATATCCATCATCATTGTCATTGTCCTCAGCCACAGGGTAACAGCGCAGAATCTTTGCACTCCAAACTCCAACTCCATCCCTTTCCCCATTTCCACCCCAACCTCCAGCCGCCTGGCCTCTGGGAGATGGCGAGGAAGGGTGTGCCCCAGTGGCGAGGGGAGGGAGGAAATGAGGATGCAGGAAATGGGTTGAGACAGGCAGAAGAGAATGAACTTGAGGGAGCCCCACTCTGTCCCTCTCCCATCCCCACCAGTGTTTTTTTGTTTGTTTGTTTGTTTGTTTTTTTGAGACAGAGTCTCACTTTGTTACCCAGGCTAGAGTGAGTGCCATGGCGTCAGCCTAGCTCACAGCAACCTCAATCTCCTGGGCTCAAGCAATCCTCCTGCCTCAGCCTCCCAAGTAGCTGGGACTACAGGCATGCGCCACCATGCCCGGCTCATTTTTTCTATATATATTAGTTGGCCAATTAATTTCTTTCTATTTATAGTAGAGACGGGGGTCTCGCTCTTGCTCAGGCTGGTTTCGAACTCCTGACCTCGAGCAATGCGCCCGCCTCTGCCTCCCAGAGTGCTAGGATTACAGGCGTGAGCCACTGCGTCAGGCTCCCCACCAGTGTTGATGACAGCCAGTCAGGACCAAAGGTGTCCCCGGGACAGGTGACTCTGTCCCATGGGATGGAGGTGGACCCACCAAGTGTCTGGACCAAACCAAACCTTCTGCGTCATCCTTGTCATAGAGCTGTCCAGGGAGACTGGGCTGGCCCAGGAATGCCCAGGGCGGAGGGGAGGGAGCCAGTGAGTAGGGGGTGGAGGTGGGGGGACAGCCTGGTCTGACACTGTCCCTCTTGCCCTCCTGCGAGCAGTGATCGCTCTGCTCATCTTCCTGCGCCGGCGGCTGCGGAAGCAGGCCCGCGCCCACGGCAGGAGCGTGCCCGAGATCCACGAGCAGCTGGTCACCTACGACGAGGAGGGCGGCGGGGAGATGGACACCACCAGCTACGACGTGTCAGTGCTCAACTCGGTGCGCCGAGGCGGGGCCAAGCCCCCGCGGCCCGCGCTGGACGGCCGGCCGCCCCTCTACGCCCAGGTGCAGAAGCCACCGCGGCACGCGCCCGGGGCGCACGGCGGGCCCGGGGAGATGGCGGCCATGATCGAGGTGAAGAAGGACGAGGCGGACCACGACGGCGACGGGCCCCCCTACGACACGCTGCACATCTACGGCTACGAGGGCTCCGAGTCCATCGCCGAGTCCCTCAGCTCGCTCGGCACCGATTCGTCCGACTCCGACATCGATTACGACTTCCTGAACGACTGGGGGCCCAGGTTCAAGATGCTGGCCGAGCTGTATGGATCAGACCCGCGGGAGGAGCTGCTGTATTAGGGGGCCTGGGGGCCCAAACGCCCTGCAGCCCAGGCCAGTCAGACACCAGGCACAAAGCCCTCCAAAAGTGGCACTGACTCCCCAGCCCAGCACGCCTTCCTCGCGGGTGCCACAGGCCTCACCATCCCCGGGATAGCACACTCCAGGGCCCTGAAATACCAGGAACAGATTTCAGTGCTGGCGACCCCCAAATGCTGGAAAACCCAGGCTAGTGTCCTGTCTGGGACCAGACGTCAACATAACCCCGTCACCCCCAGACCACGGTCTAACTCAAAGACTTTCTCTGGCTCAGCAAGGTTGCAGAGCAGCCCGTGTTCAACTGCTAGGGGGTCTTCCTCCGAGGTCCCTGAACCACCTGCTGGGGCTGGTGAGGTCCTGGGGCCTATCTGCCTGGAGGCATGACATGTGGGACAAGACTCTGCCACCCAGTCCCCAGGGAGACGGCAATGGCCCATCAGTCCTGCTCTTAAGAATCCCGGCCCTGCTGCGTCCAACTCCATCACAGCCTCCCAAGGGCCCCCGGGCCCTCCCCAGGACTGTCAAGAGGGAGGAAGGGGCCACATGGGAGCTCCCGACCTTGGGTCCTGAGGTGACCGCACTGGCCTGCCCCACCAGTGACTGTGCTGTACTGAGCATTGAACCACTCAACCAAATTCAGGGAAATGGCTGGTTGAACTTTGAAGCAACTGTGAACTCATCCTGGAGGGACAGTGGAGATCAAATGTGACAGAGCACTGGGGGAAGGCCTGGAGGAGCTGAGACCCTGATTTGAGACTCTTCAACAACGCCCCTCCAGTTTTGCCTGTGAGGGGCTCAGATGTCCCTAGAGCAGGAGACCTCTCCCCACCTCTGCCTCACCTGCTCACTCCTTCAAGCTCTTTCTTTTCTCTGCCTGCCCCTTATCTCTTGACTTAGAGGCGCCCATGGTGTGGCCCTCAGCAGGTCTGGCCACTGTCCAAACCCACACATGACTGCATGACAGAGCCTTACCACTGGCCTTCACACCTCGTTGCCACATCTCAGGGAACTGACCCTCAGGCACACCTTTTGGAAAAAGCAAAGCCCCTGCCCTGCCCAAGCTCTGTGGTCATCCTTGTATTTCCCACTTTCAGCCACAAATGAAAACATTCCACTGCATCACGCCTTGGGGAAGTGGCATCAACCAGCAGAGTGGCAGGGAAGGAGGCAAAGTCTCCTGCTCACCCCTCACTGCAGACCAAGGTCCCCACTCTGGGAAAGGCCCCTCCCACTGCAGGAGAGTGTAAATAACACTGCCTTTTTTTTTTTAACCAATAACTAGTTTTTCATAATGATTTTTTTTTACTAATAATACTTAAGTTTCTAGATATCACAAACATATAGAATTAGTGTTTTGTATAATAAGCAGGTTGTTATTTAGGTTAACAATTTTAATTCAGGTTTTTTAGTTGGATAAATAATTCCTATAACCTTCTACTTCCTATCATTATAGTAATTGATCTGCAGATAATGACTATATATTGGTCACACTGGTGCATGAGACATACTGTATTTTTTTATACTTAAATAAAGAAAAATCTTGAAATTCTTCCATTTCTAGAACTGAGAGCACTCATGTGACACACACACACACACACGCCACCACCATCATCAGAGGACCCTGGAGGACAAGGGGACATTTGCAGATACCTAGGGAAAAAGCTCTCCTAGCCAAAGCTTTTCAAGGCCCTCTGTGGATAGCTCATTCCTTTTCAAATGTTTGGTCAGCTTCTCACTGGCCCTAGCTGTTACCACTGTTCCAGGCAGCTGCAGTGTTAAACAATTGCCACTGATTGTTTTCAGCAAATGCCCCCAGGGAAAAGTCTGTGTGTGAGCTCCAAGTCAGGTCCAACAAATACAGCCTTGTAAGTAGAGTCTTCCAGGGGACCAGTAAACCAGTCAAATAGTGACAGTTACCTGGGAACTGGGCTTTGGAGGAGCCCCAACTCTGCTGTCCCTTCCAGTGGTTGCTAGCACTGGAAGGTTGCTGGTTCTCACAGTGATCATAGAGCCATTAGGTTTCAAGGTACCGCAGGGCTGGGGAGAAGGGGATAAGTTCAAACACCACAAAGCTTGCTGTTCTTACCAAAATTTAGCTGTTTTTCTTGAACAGACATTCCCTGGATTGTTGCAAGTTTTTAGTTAATTTCCTGAGTTCTGAAAAAGTTGATTTTGACAATTTTCGCCAGTATTCTCATTGCTTTTATGGGAAAGAGGAGCTCCTTACTCTGCCATTCTCTGCAGATATCAACCCTACAGGCTGGTTTTTGAGCTCAGTTTTCCAACCTGTCTAAACTGCCTGCTCCCAGAACTCACACTTGTCCAGTCCCTGGAGCCCAGGAGATCTGTCCACTCCTTCCTTCTCCCGGAGGCCACCCAGGTCCCGAGTCACCTCCAGATAAGACGTTCCCTGTCCCTTCAGCCTTCAGGTGGGGCCTGGTTCTGAGCTCCGGGCCACCCTGGCCACCTCCTCTGTTTGGCTCCCATTTTACTTTAAGGTGGAAGGAGTGGCCTGCCTCTGAGTTTGGAGATATTAGCAGACACCAAGGTAAAGCACAAACCCTGTGCCCCCTGGAATCTGCTGACCACAGGGCACACACCTGCTCCAGCCCAGCCTGGGTCCCAAGCCCAGCCACAGCGAGCAAGAGAAGCAGAGACTCTCACAGCCCTTCCTCCCCTCCCCCAGGCCAAACCTATGAGGCTGGCATGACTTTCCTCATTTTGAAGTGACACAGATGAGGCCGGGCATGGTGGCTCACGCCTGTAATCCTAGCACTCTGGGAGGCCAAGGCAGGAGGATTGCTCAAGGTCAGGAGTTCAAAACCAGCCTGAGCAAGAGCAAGACCCCGTCTCTACTAAAAAATAGAAAGAAATTAATTGGCCACTAAAAGTATATAGAAAAGATTAGCTCGACGCATGGGTGGCGCATGTCTGTAGTTCCAGCTTATGGGAGACTGAGGCAGGGATTGCTTGAGCCCAGGAGTTGAGGTTGCTGTGAGCTAGGGTGCCACGGCACTATAGCCTGGGCAACAAAGGGAGACTCTGTCTCAAAAATAAATAAATAAATAAAAAGTGACACAGATGAGACCCAGAGAGGGGTGAGATGTGGCCAGAGCCATACAGTAAGCCAGGAACAGAGACAGAGTTGGTCGCTAGACCTGCCTCCTGGGTCCCAGGAGAATTCCGATCTGCAGGAGACTTCCTGAGACCTGGGGGCTGGAGGGCTGGACCAGGAAGCACCATTCGCTCCCGTTGCTCTGGTCGAGGGGAAACGACCACGAGGGGGCGCGCTGTGTCAACAAATGCTCAGCCTTGGCCGGCATCCCGAGCTGCGCGCCCCGGCATCCCGGTTAGACCGCAGGTTGCGGGGGGGGGGGGGGGCGGGGGGGGACCTGGAACTTGACAGACGACCTGGATGATAGAGGTGGCCGCCGATCAGGCCCCACAGCCTGCCCGGGCTCCCGCTCCGCTCCTTCTTCGCGCCAGGCTCTTATAAGGAAGAGAGAGGCAGGGACCTCACCCCTACCCTCCCTATGGGATGGGGTACCTGTGGCCTCCAGCAGCCCAGCTGACATCCAGAATCTCAACTCATGGGTTGCAGCTGGCCCTGGCAGCCGATCCTTGGGCTTGTGAGGTCACGGTGCGCTTCCAAGATCCTTCCCTGCACCACGGGGCGCCTGCCTCAGTGTCCACGCCCAGCCTTCCTGCTCGGCCCCGCCCTGATTCCTCCCAGCCAGTCCTGGAAGGTTGACTCCCGGCCAAAAACAGAGCCAAGGCGCCTAGTGCCCTGGTTGTTCAGCGCCTCCGCTTACCTTAAACTTTCTGATCCTCACAACCAAAACCAAGACCACGACCACCCCTTAAAACCTCTTCTAAGGATTAACCTCAGAGACGAGACGTGCACAGGGTGTATCTGCCATGAAAAATGTCTGCATCATTTACAAGTAAAAAATTGAAAACAACATAAATGTCAGATAAGAGATTAGTTAGGAAATTATGGCAGATCCATAAAACACTACCTGGCAGTCATTAAAAGTCATGTTGTCACGTGGTGATCTTGAGCTGAGTTCAAGGTCAAGCAAAAGAGCAGAGCCCCATGCATTATTTAGACAGATCCTAATTTTTTTCTAGTAGATATCCACCTCCAGGTTGTAAGATTGCGAATAAGGTTTCTTTTCTTCTTTATTCTGTGTTTTCCGATTTTCTATCATCAGCATGTATTATTTTTATAATCAGAAAAAAGTGTTATTTTAAGGTTAATTTGTAAACACTTTCTTATAATTGAAAAACAGTGAATTGATAAGCAAAATTTGTCCCCAAATATCATTTTTTTAAACATTGACAGTTTTTGTTTTAATGAAATGTTTTGAGTTCATTATTAATGCAAACAGACTTTTAAAAATTAACTACATTGCTTTAAGTCATTACTCTTAAAACCCAAAAATCTGCTATTGGAGGGTTGATTAACTTTATTGTGCGTTTACTTCTGGAAACATTTCTTTGAGTTTGGTCTGTAGGGCCTAACCTTCTTTGCCTTTGGACTTTTTTAACCCCAGATTTCCAGGAACTTTCTATATCAGAGCAATTGCAGTCCACAGAATGAGGAAAACCTGGTTTTCCAGCCAGCTGACTTCCATGGAGTTCTGTAATGCACAGCCATACCCAGCATTCCTCTTTCTCGAGGGTAAGAGAAACAGCTGGGGCCGATTTCTCTCAGCCCACCCAGAAGTTACCTGGGATATCTAGGAAATCTGTGTATACACCAACACTTGGGAACTGCATAGGACTCTTGCAACGTGCCTTTGGAGCTAGGGCATAGGAAGCAGTTAACTTATGATGTTCCTGTGTAATGGTTGCTGGGGGGATGTTTGATGATGTTACACAGGAAGCTGCTGTGAATAAGGGGGATTTGTTTTCAAGTGGGACTCTGGGTAGGAAGTGAATCTTCACATCAAAGCAGGCGTCCTCAAACTACGGCCCATGGGCTACATGCGGGTGTTTTTCCCCCGCTTGTTTTTTTACTTCAAGATAAGATATGTGCAGTGTGCATAGGGATTTGTTCATAGTTTTTTTGTTTTTTTTAACTATAGTCCGGCCCTCCAATGGTCTGAGGGACAGTGAACTGGCCCCCTGTTTAAAAAGCGTGAGGACCCCTGCATTAAAGGAAGCAATCAAAACTCTATCTTTGGCTTTTCCTGCCTGAGCCCGGGAGGCCTACAGGCACAGGGGGCTGAGGAGGAGCTAGAACAGCCCTGCCTGGGCCACTCCATAAAACAGCCAACATTTTGCAGAGCCTAGGGAAGAGTGAAAAGTGATCTGGGGCATTCGTAGACATGACACTGGGAACCTGATGACAACATCCCTGAAGCAAAACACCAGCATGTACTGGGCAGGACTTAGGGGAAGCAAGACAGGTCATCCAAAGATGGCAAACATGGCAGAGTCCATTCTGCGGGCCCTCTCAGTAGAGCTATGTAGACAAGCCCATCATGGTTTGCCCAGGACTTTCCTGGTTTTAATACTAAAAGCCCTGTGTCCTGGGAAGTCCCTCAGTGCCAGGCCAGGTGGTCCAGTGGTCAGACTGGGAGCTCTGGAAGTTGGCAATCCTGGGAGTGACTCAGCACTCTCCACTAATAGGCAAAGGCATGTTTCTTAACCTCTCTGAGCCACAGTTTTTTCATCTGTAAATAAAACAGGGGTAATACTAGAATGCCTACTCTAAGAGTTTATGTGAAATTCAAAGAAAATAAATCCTGAAAAGAGAACAGAACTGAATCTGGTACATAGTAATTTCTCAATGTTAAGAGGAAAAAAGGGAGGGAGAGGGAGACAGAGGAAGAAAATGTTAAAGGATTGTATTTTTAACACTAAAATCATATACTCTTTACTAATAACAAATATAAAATGAATATGTGTCAAAGATTTTATTTAATTCATTAGTTTATGATGGAACCAGTAGGATGTTACAACCCATTCAAAGGATTATTCAAACAATCACATGCACATAAGCAGTAAGGAATGCTGAAATGAACTTACAAACATATAAAACTGGTCTACCCAAAGGGTTAAAGATCAACTGCATTCCATTGGACACAATCATCTGAACTCTTGTGGACATGAGAAATAAAAATAAAATCCTAAGCTCCCAATGAACTGAACAGACCTCCTCTTGGCCAAGGGGATCCAGAGAAACCTTAAAAATTGAAATCCTGGCCATGATGGGATGGGAGGTGTAACACACTTCATTACACCTTCTCCTTCATTAACTGCCTTTGGGCTTTCTACCCTAAGGGTTAAACAGAAACCAGCATTTTGGAAGGACTTGCTCCACTGAGGATTTCAACCAGCATCCCTTGTTCACACAAACTTAATATATCCCTCCAACAGAGCCCTTGTCACATGGTGCTGAGATCATCTATGGTCTCTCCCTGAGCACCCGAAGGGCAGGGCCTGCATCAGATTCATCCCCATGTCTCCAAAGCTAGCAACAGTAATAACCAACCAGGACTTACTCTGGTCAAATCAATGAATGAACGAATATTTGGGTGA